GCAAACTGTTCGGAAAAAAACTAAACGCAACTTGTATGGACGTAAATAACTGTGCAATACGATTTTGCAAAACCGCTCTGATGCTGGATTAGATTTACATGAAATTGCAAATAAATACCATTTTACAACAAGGAAGTACGAAGGGATGACAATACCATCAAAATTTGTTATAATGTTTTGGCTATTAAACATAATTGCCACCCACTTTTATTGGCACTTACCGCCTTTGATAATTGTCGACAAAAAAGTGCTAATGGAGTTCTAAGGGGACATTACACCTGCTGAGAAAAAGAAGACTGTTCACGGCAATTTTTCAATCTGGGCAACTGAGTGCGGCCAATTGGGCGCATACGAAACGATACCACCACATTATTATGTAGCTATTCATATCTTCTTTGTTTATAAAATTCTTCTGTATATGTGTTTGTGACTGAACGTATTTTGACAACAATTTTTTTATGTTTTTGTGTCGCCGTATGATGGGTCCGAATGGATTATAGGATTTTTTTTTAAATTCTTTTTTCGTTAATGTCTCACTTTGCTATTTCGCGTACCAATTGATACATGCGCCAAGTCACTTGCCTCAAACCGTACCGTTATCATATATCCGTAAATATCGAGTGTACGAAGTCTAGGAGGAGAAATCTGGTACTAGGGAATGCAATACCGGGATCGCAGGATCCCGAAATACCGGGATTCCGCAGCATTTTTGCGGGATTAATCCCGCACATAAATGGAGCGGGATCCCGCGGGATTTGCGGGGCTGAGGTATTTGTCTACCAAGGGGACGAGTCTGTTTACTTTGTTAATGAAACGCATAACGGAGAAGTTATTTTTTAAATAATTGTTAAACTTTTTTCGTTAAAAATGTACTATGATTTTTGAAGCACTTTAGAAGTTCACCTTTTTGTGCTTTACAGGTGAGCTTTTTTTTGAGTTAGTTAGGCTGAATTAAGGTACTTTTTTGTTAAATATAGTGATAATTAGCGATTTATTTTAATACAGAAGTTAACCGCACAGAATTGCTTATTTGCCAATTTATTTAAAATTGCATTCCGTATCTGGTACCTTATAATTAAAAATCATATGTGCGCATGCGCAGATTACGCAATGCCAACTTTCTTATTTCTGGAAATACAGTGCGATCATTAATCATTGTCTTATGAAACACGATTTTAGTAACCATTTGCCGCAACGCGTGTGATGCTGAACCAATACTAAACATAACAAGAGGGGTAATAAATAAATAAATAAATAAATAACCTCTAAAGCTAATCGTCCTGTCACTTCCAGTTTGATCAATTTCTTTCCACAACCTTTGATCTACATATATAAATATTAAAGACGGAAACGGAGTTTGGACGTAATCGAGTCGCCTTTGTATGAAGGAATTTTGAAAGGCATATCCTGAACATTACGCCGCCACATTCTTCGTGTACTTAAGCGATTTGACGATACAGGAGGTGTTGTATGTGAAAAATCCCCTGGTCGCCAGTTGCTAACTAGGCGGTAGTAGAAGATGGGCATGCTCGTCTTGAACAAAACCCGCAAAAAGCCAGCTATCCCAACAAACCGATTTGTCTGCGGAACGTGTCAGAAAATAACGCCCATACAGTTGCATTTCTATCCCTACAAAGTAATCGTGCTACAAGAACTTCCTCGTCCCGACTTTGAAAAACGTGTAAATTATTGAAATTGGTTTAATGAAACTCCACGAGACGAGAACTTATTAGACAAAATTTATTTCTCCGATGAGGCTTGGTTTCACCTTAGTGGATACGACAATTCCCAAAACTAGGAGTTGTTGAATATCCGCATGTTTATCAGGAAGCTCCGTTTGATCCTCTGAAGGTAAGCGTGTCTTACTTATAGAGATATTTTTACTTTTAAAAATGCACTTTTTCGCTCTTGATATCTGTCTGTCTGTCTGAGTCACAAAAGCTCCGGAACTACACCACTTACAGAAATTATTTCATGTTTGTATTCTCGTGAAGGCATGCAATGTTCATAAGGGCTATTAATACCGACTTTGTGGTTCAATTGTAGAGCGTTGGGCTATAAATCCGGAGGTCGGGTGTTCGAACCTGGATTGAGGTGAATTTTTCATCTGTGGCGGAGATGGAAATTACCTTACACCAGTTCCGAGCATTCTACCGGCTACTCCGAATTAGGTTTTCCTGCACTTTTCCTAATTCGTAAGGTAAATACCATCAGAGTAGTATAGAACAACTTATAAGACCTTCGCAGAGGCACCTCTAAAAAGCCTCATGCGGGTCACTCTGTAATTGGGCACAAGCCTGTTGAGGGCTCACAACAAGATTAGAGATAATGAAATCGGAAAAAACAAATTTGAAAGTGCACTCCACGCCTCTTGCTCACAAGCGGCTTAACGAATTTTTTTCCTTATAGATTTTTGTGTTGCGTAGGGATTACCCATTTTACCACCCGCACGTAAAGGATTACATTGGAATAAATAAACTGACCCCCCCCTTTTTTTTACGGAAATACACGGTTTGAAATACCAGGACATCTTGATTATGTCGGTCTGTCTGTCGTCTGTACTCTCACATACGGCTGAACCGATTAGAACCAAATTGTTCTTAGACATAAAAAGGAGGACTTTTGGGCCGAAGTCGCGCATGGGCCCATGCGCAAGTGTGTCAAACTCCCATTTCCTGCTAAACAGGTGAACTGATTGAAACTAAATAAATGGCGAAATCAAATTTGCGGATGGAAATTACCTGAAAGCCTGTGCTTTCCTGACTATTCTGAGTCTGGACCTGAGCTTTTAGCTTCGAAGTGTACGTCATCGATAACGAGTTTTTTTATGGCCAACCAATCATGTACATGGTGTTTGAATTCGTGGCTCACCATTCACTAACTATGAGGGATAAAGTTGCCCATATTTGTGACCAAAAACCTCATTTGAAATTTTTGAAAAATCTTTGAAAATAACTGAGATATCACTGAAAAACTGAAAATGTCAAATATCATTTTCATTTTCCCTACCTTAAACGGTTAGAAATTGAGAGTTCCCGTTACCACCTTCTATGATGACTTTTTTTTCTGAGAATCTGAATCTCTTATCAGAATTATCATAACCCGCTAGCGGCTAGATGTAGAAGCTACAAGTTATTACTTTCTTATTTCTTATGGGCGTCATATTGTATTTTTACAGAATGAGATAGAGGACCAAAAAAGAAAAATGATGACGTGTCACAGTGTATACTTTTACATAAATTTACAAGAAAAGTTTTAAAATCAAATGCTTCACATTCATTTCTTAACAAAATATCTACAGGTGATCAAAAAAAGGATCAACATCGCCTTGTTCAAGTTAAATAATTATGATTTCCCAAATAAAAATTCCAAAGCTGATTCGACAACTCTTTTTTGATCGCTTAGTATATCTCTTGCTGACTACATTAAATTTTTATTTCATGTGCGATGTATTCAACTGAAGAAAAAGTTAATATTGTCAAAGCTCAAAACAACAATATTCAAATTAATTAATATATGACATCCAAATCTTTGTTTCAAAAAGTAATTTTGGTTGCATAAAATTAGGCGCCCTTCAGAAGAGATTTTGTGTTTGAAAAGTAGATGTCGAGAAAACAATACACTTAAATCCATATGTCTACCTCTTAATAAGTAGCACTCTAGGTATATCAAAAAATTAGGCCGTAAAGGGGACCGTGATAAACGTTTATTGCAATTAAAGTGACCAAAAATATTTCGTTTGGAAATTAAGTACTTCTCCAAAAGTCCTGAAATATACATTACAGAAAAAACGAGAATGGAAACACGATTTTTGGGATGCCCTTTCCGATTTTGTAAATACAAAAAATTTAAATTCAAATTTTTTCTAGACAATTCTTTCTATAGTTTCGTCACTAGAGAAATTAAATTGTGTACCTACTTATATATTTGTGAAAGGTGATTCTTGCAAAACGTGACACAAAAAATAAAATATTGCAAATTACAATAAATAAAATAAATAGGTAACGCGGAGATAGCAATGGACGAGTTATGAAGCTGGCCTCTTTCTCATACCACACCAAAGAAAGTTGCATACAGGGTGCCATGGTTATGCTTAGGCAAAATACTGCATCTTGCCATAGGTACTCTAGACCGTTTGCTCGTTCTAATCAAAATGTGTATCCATAATGTAGTGCTATAATTGGCTATAATTATTTCAATGGTGCTTTGAAAAAAACACGATAACAAATACGAACACCCCATGACATTTTCTTCTCTTGCAACTTATTTAATATTTCTGTGCATATTATTATACTATTCCTTCAATACAGCGATATTAGCGTGAAAAAAATCATGCAAGGTGCGATGCTACCCAGTTTCAATAAATCAAACACGAATTACAAGTACCTGAAAGCATGTTTAGTCAATTGTATACCAAGACCAACAGTTTCATTGTAAAATAATGCACCCTAAACTGACGGTTAATAAAATCCACTTTTTATCCCGTTGACATATTGCTGTAACGTTTATCTTTATATTGGGTATAAGGTACCCACAAATTATAAGCATTCGGAACCACCGAAATTTATTATGTAAGTTAAGGTGGACATTGGTTATACCACATAAATAACTTCACAAAAAAAAATTAACGAATGCACATACTTAACCGGGCATGTCATTATTCTAGAGTCAATAAATTATCCTCATGCTATATTTTTTATGTACCTACCCAATCAATTTACATATCGAAAAAAATGTAAGGCTTCGAGCGGAAAAATCTACCAATAAAATCTGTTAATAATTGAGTATAGAGAGACGCGACTCTACCCTCTGGTAGAGCGCACCCTTACATCAACCTTCACCCTCGTAATGGCCGGTCATATAAGTAAGGGGACTGAAGCGTCCCGACGCTAGGCGTTACCCCACATCCATTCCCCTTCCACTATTAATAGGTGGAGCTAAACGCAAAATGATTGCCAACCCCTGCCTAACTGTTTACAGATATTGTCGATACGGTCCATATAATACGTTCGATGCGTGCATCTGAGCATTACACGTGTAAATTAATACTAATTGTGCTGCAGTACATAATATGCAACTAATTATTTGCTCATTAACCATGCAACTTTTTGTCTGCGTTCTCCGGTGAAAGCACAACAATGCGGTGCAAGAGTCACCCTCGCATATTTACACCAAGTAGGTATTCGATAGTTAGATCGTATCGCAGGTAGGTTGTCGGCAGTTACGCTAGAGTAACGTTTCGTAGTTTCAGATATCCTTTGGAACATCCTGTACATTGTGTAAAATTATAAATTAAAATTAGTAACTCCTACCATGTACCTACTGTTGATTTATTGCTGCTTTGTAAAAGTGTGATAAATGTTGCTATTATTGCGTTTTTTTAATGGGAAATCATATGCCGTGATTTCAATTTCGGAAAGTACAATACCGTTTTAAACAAAACATAATTTTTAATAGAAATGCGAAGGCACTTCCGTTTTTAATTGTTGAGGTTTGGTAAACACTAAAAGTGGGGATAAAAGTTTAAGGCCAAATAAACGTGCAATACAATTATTGATTTAAAATTAAAGCCTAGGTCCTTTGCTTCTGTATTATCACAGTGTAAGAATATAATACACTGTGGTATTATTACCTACCTATTATAACATTCGAGCTATGCAGAAGTAATCAGAGAAATGCACTCTCGAATCTCTTAGTAGTCTTCGAATTGACTAAATAAATCAGTAGTATTCACTACATACACCAGACCCATAGCCAAAGGGTAACCAGGGGGTTCGCCTAACACAGAACATGGTCTTGCCACCTTGGAAAATTACGATTAATATTTCCTTTACGAGATACGAAACATAAAAAATTACGAAAAAAAAAATCAAACAAGGAAACAAAAAACATTCGGTGTACAAGAAAAATCGGAAGTTGGAAACTCGTTGGTTTCAACAAGATGGTGCACCTACCCACACCTTATAATCGTGTGAGAATATGTACCTATCGGACAAATTTCCTGGAAAATGGGATTAGGGGCGAATATGGTGTTGTATGTTGATGCACCATCCCGTTGAAACCAACAAAATTGTTTTTTTTGTGTCATACATCGTTGTATTCGTAATAAAAACTACTACTCAATACAAAGTGTACTTCATTTGCGAGCTATATAAAAAATAAAATTAATGATGATGTTTTTATTTTTGTCTGTTCAAATAGCACCAGAAAAAAATAAAAACCAAATGGGCAAATTTCGGTTCTTCGAAAGTATTCAGAATTTCTGGTTTTACACTTGTGCTCACTTAACAGTAGAGACAACATTAATTTATACTTTTTGCCCTCTGTACCGTTTACATCATTTTTGTACATTCGCACCATTGTTTTCCCTGGAAGCGTTAGTCTACCCTTTATAGCATGATAATAACTCTAATTGCGCATCTTTTATGTTATGTTATAGACATCCTAATCTTGGACACAGTGTATGCAAGTGAGTTTAAATAAAAATTATAATTTATGGAACGGGGATGCTGGGTTTGTGGATATCCATACCTATCCATTAAGTAAAATCAAACAAGCAAACAAATATGTACCTATGAAGTACCACAAAATTTACAGTAGACGAATTGTTATGTTAAAGTCTAGGTTTCATTTACTATTCTTATTAAACAATAAACAAACATATATTTAGGTACCAAAAATTTTTGTTTCCTTTTTCATAAGCTCCACCTAGAAAAACACCTGCCTGCTCTTAATCCTGACGTGCCTGGCATACATGTGTGTTTCTAAATAAGGGTGTTTTTAAATATGATGCAGATACATACGGAAGGGGCTAATTCGCTGGCTTATTTTCTGACTAAAAGTTCATATAAATATAGGCCCGCAAACGCTTCGTTACTGATCTAGAGCGTGTTAAAGTTTCTAGTTTTTTCTTTATTTCCTGCAGTTTTTGAGATATTTAGCTCAAATTTGCAATAAGTATAAGTTGTGCTGAAGGGCTTACATCATTGGTCTTGTCAAAGGAATGAGAATCTACAGGGTGTTGTATTTTCAGAGGACATGTTCCACTTTCTACCCCTCCACCTACCCCTCTACCTACCTTTTTTTGGTGCGCCACTGGTACATTCTAAAATAGGAATTTGGTTTTCCGATTTGTTTGGAAACTTTTTGACCCCTTGTAATTTTTCCCTATTTCCGACCGTTATCGAGAAAAAAAATAAAAATCAACGATAGCTAAATAAAAGTATAATTTTTAAAATGGTCCAGTAGGCCCTGGATTTATTTGGATTATATCTTGCTTTTATTAGTTGGCATTGAAAATTGTATCTTTTGTTTGCATATGTTTATAAATTAAAGGCTTAAATTGTAAAGTAAAAACCGGTAACAAAGCGTTTACGGACCTATGTTTATATGAAGTTTTAGTCATAAAATAAGCCAATGAATTAGCCCCTTCCCTATTTGCTTCATATTTAGGAACCCTCTGTATAAATTCAGACAAATAACTTTCGAAAAAACACGATGTAATCTTATCGAAGAACATATGCCACCATGTCAAAGATCTTACTTATAAATAAATAGACTAATACTATACAGGGTGTTTTATTTCAACAGGTATCGATGACGTCATAATTCAAATTGACGGCACCGAGAAACGAAGCATGACATTTGCGTTCTACTATTATGGACCCACCGTTTCGGCCCAGTCGTTTTGATCCCACAATTTAATATTTCTAAAACCGGCATTGACCAACTATTTTCTCTCCTAAAAAGCAGCTCGAAAATTGCACCAGTGACCACTGATTACTTCACAAAACTATTGTAACAAATTTAATTACGTCCTTTATTTATTTATAATTGACAATAAATTTATAACAGTCTTAAAACGAATCGATTTATAACAGTAAAATATTGTTTACATCTCACGGATACACAATTTATAACAGCGCGAACAATTTATGATCATCCGACTATTCTAGAATATTCTCGAACAAACACGTCATATTTCTCGGAAAGATTACGTCACATTCGCCTTCGTTATTTATCCCCGATTCATTGTACCTCAATGTCTATCGAAATTTCTGGAATGTTCGCTACACTATAATATTCCGCGGGACATCAATCCTTTTGAAACTTGACTACCACTGTAGCGATTTCATTTTAGCGCGTCTTTTGTGATGCGGACAAAGCGCCGAGTTTACACTAGTTTTCGTACATCAAATACTTGGGAGACTCGTTAAAATGAAGCCCCACAGAAAGTATGGCGATCAAGTTTCAAAAAGATTGACGTCCCACGGACTATAGCAGCTATATTGTCCTAGTTGACTGATGTTAACGTTACCAAACGTCAGTATAATTGATAAATGTTTTTGGAACAATTTTACACAACATGATTTCAGAAAAAATTGCCGAAAAATCCCCTCAGGAAAATACTTGGGTACTTACGTGTTTTGACAGAGTACGTCAGTACCCGTTTTAGAAAGAATAAATTGTAGAACCAAAATGACCGAAACCCAAATGATCGGGACCGAAACGACGGGACCGAAACGGCGAGACCGAAATGAATGTTAAAATATTGGCTTCGAAAATAATTTTGAAGGCAAAAGGTATTTAGGTTTCTGCAAACAAAAATTTAGAATGCGTACAAATTTGAAATTTCTTAGGAGCAGTATATCATCCCTCCGTTAAATTTAACTACCAGATAACACCTATGTGAATACCATTGTCTCCATGGAAATTAACTGTCAGTTAAGTTTTACAGAAGTTGGATAAACTGAAGCTTAGTTTTGTAACTGAATTTGTAGATACTGCTTAATCCATTTTCCAAGTTTTCCAGTTCCAGAATTAAGGAAATTAAAGGTAATATGTGGGGATTGGTAACTTTTACCTCAACAGAAACCCAGCATCAATAATAATCATGGAAACAAATGGAACATTGTGGATTGGGTACATTTATTTTATTTATCCTTTAAAATGAAGGTATAGAGACCAGTCGACCTATGCGGTTCTTCTTTTAGTTAAAATAGGTACACTGTGGTGGTTGTTCAATGCAAACTTAACAGCTGGTTAAAACCAGGGTTAAAACACTACCAGAGGTAAAATTTTAATCTCTAAATTCATTCTAAATAACGCCTTTTATAACTTTTGCCAATACCATTTTAAGGTAGGTATACAGGCATTGTTTAAATACTTTTTAAACAATGGTACAGGCGTGTATTATGCATTTGATGTAACATTTTAACCGTTTTGAAAGAAGTTCTGCGTCAAGTGAAGACGAAATAAACACACGTCTTTATGGCAATCAATGGCCGCAAACTAAAAGCCCCCAGCAAACACACTTTACGTTTAAAAACTGTTTTAAAGCGTTTTGAAAGGATAAATTCGGTATTGGTAGTATGGTATACGTTTTTGTGTAGACCGATTTTATACCTACGTTTAAAATACGATTTTTATTCATATAAATCATAGAGTTCACTTTCTACGTTGATAATACGTATGTAAATAACCGTTTCTTAGCAATCGTTTTATAAACGTATATAACACCACTTTAATATAATCGGTATATCAACGGGAAATAATAAACGCATAATATTCCGACAAGAATAGAGCAACATCCGCTGGACATTTATGCGTATTATATATATAGGGTTTTAGTTTACCATAAACGCTTTTTATACGGAACTGTGTTGCTAGGGCCGTTTGAAATAATTAAAAAAAAAACATAAAACTCGCAGTTTTAAACTGCAATTTTGTCTATTCCTGAAACACCGAAGTCCAGAACTTGAGGTAGATGCGGAAAAAGACCAATTAAACTTTGGTCTGGGTGCCTGTTCCCAAAAAACACAATTTCAAGCTTGAGGTAAATAAACGAACAGCCCTACATTAAAAGACACAAGAACTTACATAATCGACATTAGTGTGAAATTAAAAAAGCATAGGATTTGCCTAAAAAGCTTTGTGCGGGGTTGGACGCCAGTATTCATACATACTCGTACATTAAATCAGAAATAACGCATTTAATGAAAAATACAATGTCTTCAAAAAAAAACACCACAGCCTATACTATAGGCAGTTTCACAAATCATCAGAACTTATCTTTTCATTGAAAACATGGAGTGTCTACATTCTGATTTGCGGACATTCAAAACACCAAAACCATCGTAATCGGAAGTGCCCACTACTTACTCAGAATTTTTCTGCAAACACGATGGCCTCCAACCGAAAATGCACTACGTGAATGACTCTAGAAATGAACTCCCATCATCAGAAGTGGCGGAACCCCTAGAACTAGAAGAATAAGTTAAATTAAAGCTAAAGTTAATTTAATTTAAACTTACCCATCGTTCTTATATAATTAGCAACTTATTTATTTAATATTTCTTTCAGTTGATGCTCCTTTACCTAAAGCGTATGATGGGAGAGATCTAATTGGATCGGCAAATGCATGGGTATTCTAGGTATCACCTGTGGAGTAACTCCTAAATATAACAGTACCTATCAGATGTGGAGGAAACCCTGAAAAAATATATTAAATTAGTTACAAGTTACAGAAAAACCCTAGAAATACAAAAAAAATTAAATTACAGGTAAAATCAAAATTATTTAAGCTTACCCTATACGTCCTTATATAATTAGCAACTCATTTATTTGATTTTTTTTAATTTATTGAATGTGAGATATTTCAGCTGTCGCTCCTCTACCCAAAGCTTGAGGGCGAGATCCATTTGGATCAAAAGATGAACAAGCATCAGATCAAGCGGAAAGCCTAAACATAGAAGAATATGTTAAATTGGGGCTCAAGGTATTCCAAGCATCAGATATGGTAGACACCCTATAAATAGAAAAAAAAAACAGATTAAATTAAGGGTCAAATTAAAGTTTTAATCTAATTTAAAATTACTCTTGGCTGTTATACGTATAAATAGCGAGTTATTTATTTAATTTTTTTAACTTTTTTTTAGAGTGCGTGATGTTTCAACCCATGTCCCTCTACATACGTGTAGGTGAAATCCAATTGGATCAATAGACGGTGATGGGAGAGCTCCGATCGGCTCAAGAGAAAAGTATTCCAGGCATCCAGATGTGGCAAACACCTTAAGAATAGAAAAACAGATTAATTTATAGGTAAAATAGAGTTTTAATTTAATTTATACTAACCCCTCGTCCTTATATAGTTAGCAATTTACTTATGTAATTTTTTTTAAATTTATTGAGAGTGTAAAATGTTTCAGGTGATGCATCTCTACCTATAGGACTTGTGGGCGAGATCGAATTGGATCAACAGATGAGTATTCCAAGTATAATATGTGGTGAAAATCCTAAAAGTAGAAAAATATATTAAATAAGGACTATGGTTAGAGAAAGGGAATTTCGGGAAAGTCTAATTGGTCAGAAATGGAAATTCTTAAGTATCAAATGTAGTGGAAAGCCTTGAATTAAAGAAGGTTAAAGTTGGAGATCCTATTCGCTGACCAGAGGGGTAAACCAACCATCGCCCATCGTGGTAGACAACCTACTATTAGTGCTTGTTCACAATGGACATAAGCGTAACAAAAACATAACAGATACATAATTCATAATGTTGAATAGTAGCAAACCAACGTATGTGTTCACAATGATTACATAATTTTTATTTTGTTGTAAATGTTTGCGTATGTTTTATGTCCTACCGAAAGGGTACATAAAAAATACATAAAGTTGGGTCGGTTTCAACTTTACGTAGGTTTTATGAAAAATCTAGTGGAATTAGGTGTATTTCTGTTGGGTACAAAGACGCAGCACTGCGCTGTTGGTTTGACATTTCAGTTACTACGTCTAACGTCGATGACATCTCTTCTGCCAACACAATCTGGTTATTTTTAAATTGGTACATAGTTTTTGGCGCATTATTTCATAGTTTGGTGTGGTTTGGTCCTTCGTGTGTTATTCTTTGATTATAGGTATCCAACACGACATGGAAAACGTATAGACGTCGAATTATTAATTAGTTTGGTGCAATTAAAACCCTAATTGTTTAATAAAGGGGACAAAAGATATAAGGTTAATAGGTGATCGAATAATCCTGGTGTATGAAAAAAACCATTCTTCATCATGCAGCTTCATTTCTAGACACGCTTAAATGCTTAAATTCTCCCCTTTTCTCTCGGTCTCGATTTATAGGTCTGACCCACCAACGCCGTTTTTGTTTTGTAACAACTTTGTCTCTCTTCTCTGTCTTCTTAACAGTAAAAGCAATAAAACTGTTGAAATTTCCATCCATCTCAGTGACACACACATATACACCACAAATAATATAGCTATGTTCTTGACGTTTTGCAGAGTTTAAATTTTGGATTTGCGCCTACGCAGATAATTATAATCTTACGGTCACTGTGAACACTTTCTCCACCTGCGTAAAATTATGTCTTATGTCAATATTATGTTTTATGTATCGGTTATGTTTTTGTAACTCTTATATCCATTGTGAACAAGCACTAAGAAAAACAGATTAACAAGTAAAATTAGAGTTTTCATATACCTAATTTAAACTTGCCTTTCGTAGTTATATAAATTAGTACCCACATACTTTATTAATTGCATTTTTTTAAATTCTTGTTTGTGGGAGGTGTATCAGCTAAAATGCTTCTCTACCTAGGGTTTGTGAGCAATATTCGCAATTGCATCAAGAAATGGATATTCCAATTGCAAGATGTAACGGCACTAGAAGTTGGTAAATAATGATTCATTCTTTCTTGTACATAGCATTTTCGAATCACGTTTTTTTCTTTTTTAGATATATACTTTTGGTACCCACAATTCAATTTATTAAATATACCTACACCAGTTGTTAAGTTATAACCATTTTTAATACCCGGAAAAAAAATTTCTTATAGAATGTGGCCTGTAGAATCCATAATTTCAAACAGTTCCAAGATTGGGCTACTAGTTCAAAAGTTACAGCCCTTTGAATTTTCTTTCGAAATTGGTTTCTAGTCTATAACTTTTGATTGAGAAGTCTGATCGAAAAAGTACGAATTGTTTTGGATTCTACGCACCAAAATTAATAAGAAAAAGTGTTTTCCCGAGAAATTTTGGTGCAGTCGATTTTTGGTAAAAAAGGAAGGTTATACACTGCCTTTTTTTGAGGCTCGAAAAAAAATTGTCTCAGATCGACCCGGAAAAAAAATTTTCTTATAGAATGTGGCCTGTAGAATCCATAATTTCAAACAGTTCCAAGATTGGGCTACTAGTTCAAAAGTTACAGCCCTTTGAATTTTTTTTCGAAATTGGTTTCTAGTCTATAACTTTTGATTGAGAAGTCTGATCGAAAAAGTACGAATTGTTTTGGATTCTACGCACCAAAATTAATAAGAAAAAGTGTTTTCCCGAGAAATTTTGGTGCAGTCGATTTTTGGTAAAAAAGGAAGGTTATACACTGCCTTTTTTTGAGGCCCGAAAAAAAATTGTCTCAGATCGACCCGGAAAAAAATTTTCTTATAGAATGTGGCCTGTAGAATCCATAATTTCAAACAGTTCCAAGATTGGGCTACTAGTTCAAAAGTTACAGCCCTTTGAATTTTCTTTCGAAATTGGTTTCTAGTCTATAACTTTTGATTGAGAAGTCTGATCGAAAAAGTACGAATTGTTTTGGATTCTACGCACCAAAATTAATAAGAAAAAGTGTTTTCCCGAGAAATTTTGGTGCAGTCGATTTTTGGTAAAAAAGGAAGGTTATACACTGCCTTTTTTTGAGGCCCGAAAAAAAATTGTCTCAGATCGACCCGGAAAAAAATTTTCTTATAGAATGTGGCCTGTAGAATCCATAATTTCAAACAGTTCCAAGATTGGGCTACTAGTTCAAAAGTTACAGCCCTTTGAATTTTTTTCGAAATTGGTTTCTAGTCTATAACTTTTGATTGAGAAGTCTGATCGAAAAAGTACGAATTGTTTTGGATTCTACGCACCAAAATTAATAAGAAAAAGTGTTTTCCCGAGAAATTTTGGTGCAGTCGATTTTTGGTAAAAAAGGAAGGTTATACACTGCCTTTTTTTGAGCCCCGAAAAAAAAATTGTCTCAGATCGACCCGGAAAAAAAATTTTCTTATAGAATGTGGCCTGTAGAATCCATAATTTCAAACAGTTCCAAGATTGGGCTACTAGTTCAAAAGTTACAGCCCTTTGAATTTTCTTTCGAAATTGGTTTCTAGTCTATAACTTTTGATTGAGAAGTCTGATCGAAAAAGTACGAATTGTTTTGGATTCTACGCACCAACATTAATAACAAAAAGTGTTTTCCCGAGAAATTTTGGTGTAGTCGATTTTTGGTAAAAAAAGAAGGTTATACACTGCCTTTTTCTGAGGCACGCAAAAAAAATTGTCTCAGATCGACCCGGAAAAAATTTTTCTTATAGAATGTGGCCTGTAGAATCCATAATTTCAAACAGTTCCAAGATTGGGCTACTAGTTCAAAAGTTACAGCCCTTTGAATTTTCTTTCGAAATTGGTTTCTAGTCTATAACTTTTGATTGAGAAGTCTGATCGAAAAATTACGAATTGTTTTGGATTCTACGCACCAAAATTAATAAGAAAAAGTGTTTTCCCGAGAAATTTTGGAGTAGTCGATTTTTGGTAAAAAAAAAAAAGGAAGGTTAAGTATTCAAATACTATACGAAGCATTCGAATACTTCTCAAAGTATTCAAATACCTTGCGAAGTATTCGAATACTAAATATTTGTGAAAGTATTTGAGTTACAAATACAAATACTGCTTCCATAAAAGTATTTAATTACAAAGTATTTGAATACTTTAAAAGATTTGAATACTAAAAAGTACCTATTTACAAAATCGAATACTGCCCAGCTCTGCTTATTAGTAATAATTATTTGAAAAATAAGAATTTCCTTTGCGCAATGCGCGTTCGCATATATTCCCGGAAGTTGCGCTATTTACTAAAACTAAAATCGCTTCTAGAATATTTGGTATGCGGAATGGTTCCCTAAATAAACAAGCCCCGAAATATTGCTCTTTAAGGAAGCGCACTTACAAAAAATCCACGAAAGCTCACCCCCAGTGAGAACTTGCCCACCGCTAGGTAATTAATCTTTACAAAAATTCGGCTCCAATGAATTTTCCCCAAGAAAACAATCCATTGGTATATCTGTTACGTGCGGAATTCTATCATTCTTTTCAGGGGAATTTTTCGAAAAATAATCCCCTTGGGTTCCTGCTCGAGAACAAAAAGAGAGCGATGTCAAACCTTCGCGTTCTACAACTTCCAAGGATCCGTGCAATTGAATATTTGCCGGATTCCGAGTGTCAGTTGAGTGGCTAAGAAATTCCCCTACTGAAAATGGTATGCGATTCTTCCTATCTTGTTTTATTTCTATGATGGCAGACGGCTCTGTATGTGAATGCGAAAGAAGAAATACAGAATTGTATTCCATCCACACATTCGCATGTTCCCATTTGTTAAAAAAGATACTTAGCTAAAAGTGGACGTTTCAGAATTTGTAATTGGTTGCAGTAAAATGATATAAAAAAAGCAATTTAATTTACGGATAACCCTCGTATGTCTATATATTCTTGAAAAAGTAGAATGGGAACGCCGGTAAATTTTTAGTTTTTGTGTCTACAAAAACAAAAAGCAGGTAATGACTAACAACCAGACCTCCGCGCCCCGCGGGCGATGATACTTCTATTTGCAACGCTATTACAAAAACCCAATATGCAATTTATTATAATCCCTTTCCGCAGGTACTTCTTTGCAAATACATTCAGCTATCTTCGGGAAGGTGGTATGTTGGTTGCCTAACGAACAGATCTACACATACTCCGATTGCCAATCTTATGCATTTTTTTAAAACAAATTTAGGTATACTTAAAAGCGCCCTCTATTGCGGAGCAGTACAAACATGTACCGTTTAAAACTGTAATATAACGCTTATGGATTTATGCATTAGATGTCGCTGCAAAAAATGTAAAGCGGTAAAGTATGCATAATTCGAATTCGTTATTCGTTATTTTTGGCATTTGATATTTGTAATCGGTGAATTTATTTTGTGATTTGTTTATAGACACGTATTCAAGATATCATATATGTATACTTACATGCGTATTCCAAATCTTATGGGCGTGGTAAAGAGTGTAACGTTAATTATGGCAGAGATATACATATAGTTTTTAAGTATACCTTTGCGGTTAGCAATCTGTCAAGACCTTTAAAGCTGCAAATAATTTCCGCCAACTTCCAAAAACCTTCAAGATTTTTTAAGAACCTGCCCTATGTTCGTGTGTATCTGACTACAGGTACCCGCTTTTAATAACTCCTTTACGACGAATGAGTAGCTCCAGTGTTAAATTAGATGGCTCAGCGTACCTCCTATCATATCATATCACTGTAATAATACGAATATTAAGGAATTCGAATTGTGCAAACTTTAGCGCTTTAATTTTGTTTCAGCGACATCTAACGCATAAATCCATAAGCGTCATATTACAGTTCTAAACGATACATGTTTATACTGCTCCACAATAGAGGGCGCTTTTAAGTATACCTAAATTTGATTCCCAAAAAATGCATAAGGTTAGCAATCTGTGTATGTGTAGATCTGTGGCTGGACATTACAAATGACCAATATAGTAAAAGACGCAATAAAATTGTTATGGATTTATGCATTAGATGTCGCTGCAAAAAATGTAAAGCGGTAAAGTATGCATAATTCGAATTCGTTATTCGTTATTTTTGGCATTTGATATTTGTAATCGGTGAATTTATTTTGTGATTTGTTTATAGACACGTATTCAAGATATCATATATGTATACTTACATGCGTATTCCAAATCTTATGGGCGTGGTAAAGAGTGTAACGTTAATTATGGCAGAGATATACATATAGTTTTTAAGTATACCTTTGCGGTTAGCAATATGTCAAGACCTTTAAAGCTGCAAATAATTTCCGCCAACTTCCAAAAACCTTCAAGATTTTTTAAGAACCTGCCCTATGTTCGTGTGTATCTGACTACAGGTACCCGCTTTTAATAACTCCTTTACGACGAATGAGTAGCTCCAGTGTTAAATTAGATGGCTCAGCGTACCTCCTATCATATCATATCACTGTAATAATACGAATATTAAGGAATTCGAATTGTGCAAACTTTAGCGCTTTAATTTTGTTTCAGCGACATCTAACGCATAAATCCATAAGCGTCATATTACAGTTCTAAACGATACATGTTTATACTGCTCCACAATAGAGGGCGCTTTTAAGTATACCTAAATTTGATTCCCAAAAAATGCATAAGGTTAGCAATCTGTGTATGTGTAGATCTGTGGCTGGACATTACAAATGACCAATATAGTAAAAGACGCAATAAAATTGTATTCTTTAAAAGTTGCTTCAAATGATCTAAAACGGTCACATTTGATGAAATTTTGACAAAAACGGTGATCGCAAAAACCATATAGCTCAAGCTAGGAAGAATAATTGAATAACATTACCTAAAATTTAACGTTGCAAAAAATAGAAGAATAGGAAGCTTCTAAAAAGTGCTTTTTAAGGATTGGTAAGGCATTAACATTGTAAGAAATCATCCACTTTTTCCTTTGTAAAATATACCTATAGGATGATTGCACCATATACGTTTACTAAAAATGTATACATATATTTGCACTCAATCTTTAAATGCATTTATGCAAAACCTGTTAAGAAAAACAAAAATCAAAGTCTCGGGTCCAGAGATCGCAAACCACTAGACGCACAGATGGACTTCATGGCAGGTATTAAAACAAACTTTAAACTGGGTCTATACAAAAACAAAGAAACTGTTGAACAAAACTTTTCTTTAGAAAATTATAATTTACAACGTCACTTTTACCCTGCTTGAAAATAACCGGGCAGTTTCACAGCGAATTAAAAAACCACAAATTTAAGCGAATTAATGAGTTTTGATAAAAAATGAACGCCCACTTGGATTCATAATAGCGGTTCGAACAGGTGACTCGAGACACCACTCGTACCACACTTTATCTTCGGAATGCATTCGCCAAAAACACACCTGTATCTTATCACCTTCCTTGACATATACCGGCTCCTGCAAAAATAAATAAAGCAACACAATAAACGCCACATATAGACTTACTAAAAGAGAGAAAATAATCGGAAACCAGCTAACCATTCCCTCGGAGTAGGTTTGCGGGTTAATACTTAACATCACATTTTTATAAAGCACTGTTTCGAAGTATCCTATAAATCCGGTTAGGAGGCAGTTTTGCGAGGCTGAGAATTCCAGACGCGCGAAACGATCGTTATCGATTCTCTTATTCCAGTTGGGGTGATTAAATGTGTACACCTCCTGCAAGTTGGACAATGACGATTGATGGTTTAGTGAAATGTAAATAAACCTACCTGCGACGTAGCGATTTGGTAATAATTAACTAAGTGAACAATGTAAGGCGTTTCGAATATGTTTTGAATTGATTTTTCGTGGGGGCGGTTGCTGAGGATTTCGTTGTAAATTTTTGTGCTCTGCAAGGGAGCTAGGTAGGATGTGTACGATGCTGGTATGGAGATTCCTTTGGGTTTCAGGAAACGTTGGGCGCCATCTAAGCATTCGGGTGATAATTCATTATCGCCAAATGATCCTGGAGGAAGACAAGCAGTGTTATTGATAAGCTATAGTTATGCTTTATTAGATGGAGCTAACAAAACATGAAAAAAAAGGCTACTCCTTGAGGTATACATACAGTAACACCCTGGTGAATATAGAAAATTGGAAAAAGTAGCAAAATAAACGTTTTCCTATAGAAAGTATACAGGGTCCTGTAAAAAAAATTTTCAGAGCTATTCTCATTTTTTAAATGGAACGCCCTGTGTATTTTAATCTAAAGAGCCAAGAGCATATTAAATTCTCTTTTCAAAAATATAACACACCATGGTCCCTATTCAAAAATATTCAAGTGACTAAAAAAAATCCAAAAAAATCGTTTCTAAAAACATTTTCCCCAATTTACAAAGCAGTAAATTGCTTGCCCAAAAGCCAAATTGTTCAGACTTTTTTTAATTTCAAATTATCAGCCCACAGAATACAAACCTAAAAGCTCAGAAACAAGTATATCTGCCTTTTCAGGTAACTCCATGTATCGCATATCCCCCTTTACCAATGTAACCTTCCCCTGCCATTCATTTAAAACTCTATCCTCCAAAGTATTGATGGCATACGGATTTTTCTCCAAAGCGTAGAGCTTTATTGGCCTATTTAACAAGTAGGAGGCGTTCAAAGCGGCCTGCACCAAAGGCCCACGCCCCGCACCAACAACAATCACCACAGGAAGTTCATCAGACATCGGTAAATCGGTCAAAGCCAAGTGAATTGCTCGCTGATACTCAATGTACTTGATCTGGTCCTTCTCGAAAACTTCATAAATCATGCTCTCCAAATTTTCGGTCAAAGGTTGAAGGGGGCTCTGCAAATAGTCTTCACAGCTACAAAATAATTGCGATAATTGATCTGTTAAGAGTAAAACCCGAGTTTACCCTTGAATGTACTCCGTGGTAACATTACTTTCGAATAACTTTTTACCCAGAAAATTAATGTAGGCCGTATACTTCTTATAGTCGCTTCCTCTAGGGTGTGGTCCGCGTATTACATACTGTACGTCCAGATTCATAAATTTCCTAATAATATCCTGATGGGGTTTTGCAAGTACAAATTGCTCATGTTGGTTTTTGAGAAATTGGGATGTGTGTATAATCAGTGCTTTGATAGGTTCACCAACCCACCTGTCGATCTCTAGCTCTGTAGGCAAATGATTAACATCAGGTAAATTCAGCGCTAAACCAAGCCGTCTATCATAGCAGCAGTAAGTTCGGAAATTGTTCCATCTCTCCCACGTATCGTCTTCATCCAAACAGATTGGCGAATACCTAGACGGGTGGACCATGTGTAGATACACCCAAATTTGATGGGCACCCGTTTGCAGTTTATTATACAGAATTGCGGCTAGATTTGCATTTTTGCCTAGAGGTAACTTCATCAGAGTGGCCGGTAAACCTAAATGAGCGCCGAAACCGAGCTCCTGCTCCAGCAGTGCCTTACTTTTCTCGGCAATATGTGGAATTTCGCTATCAACGTCGAGGGCATCGTCATTAACCTTCCCCACGATTAATCTGCTCCAGTCCGCGCTAGGCAGAAGACGATCAGTTCGACTAATCAAAGAGGGGGGGTTGTCGCCGGTTAAATCACGCGCGTATTGAGGGTGAATGGTGTAGGTTACTAGGAAATGAAAACCGTCGTTAGCAGCGTCGTGCACTGCACTTCTTATGCATTTAGGGCATTCTACTTCGAGGCCGCATGACATTCTCTTCTTCTTTTGCGTGTAACAATTTTCGCCCTGCATCGTGAAGCCCTGAAATCAACGTTAAAATTTGAATCGTGTGAGGCTTTTGAGGTTAAGTCGTTCATTGGTACATAATGATTGGAAGAGTGTCTTTCGTGCTAGCATTTTCAGCTGCAACCAAGAAATTAAATAATTGTTTGTTTACCTTTTTGAATCCAAAGAAAATCACAGCTCAAATTTTGACTAAAAAACCAAAATGTTTACATCGACTTTAAACCGCGTATGTCGAATATCGAATAGTCGGTGCGCTACATCGAATTTGTGATTTATATCGAATAACAACTGATGCATATAGGATGTTCCAATAGAAGTGTATTTCAAATAAATACAGGGTGGGGCAACATAACTTCCGTATTTGAAATAATCGCCGTTCCGCCTAACGGTTATCTGGGGGGGCTGAACGTGGTTTCATTTGGAAGGGGAAGTTTTACAGTTTTGTTCCCTTCATGGTCAGAAGAATCTTAATGTATGGGTAAAGTAAAGGAAGCGTTTGAATGTAGCATATATGAAATGCACGTGTAGGAGTGGCAGTTGAAGAGTATGTAGGGGAAAAGACTAAATATAGGGTACGAGGAGTGAAAGAAAACGTGAAAAAGCGCACGAAGGAGAGGTCAAAAATCACGTAGCAGAGGAATAGGAATTTATGGTGATGTAAAACATGAACGGGGAATGTTGGTGGTGGAAGGGAGACAGAGGATGAAGGTGCGTGAGAGATTTAAAATGTTCTATTATTAAACCAAAAAAGAATTATCAAGAAAACGTGGACGATATGAATTTGAAAACTTTAAGGAAGCATTTACATGATGCAATGTCAGTGATCATCAGTGCTTTAGGGGGAAGTGAGTGTGAAGAAGTCATACATAACAGTGTTGCAATGAAAACGCATGAAGAGCGTGTGGAAAAAGCACAATAAAAGACATGAGTGTGACGTACAGGTGGAGGGGGATAGAGATATAATGGAATTTAATCTTGTGAATAATTGTAATTTGTAAACATGAGTATTGATATGAACTAAGTTTCGTTGATATTTTCACTTTAATATTTCAATGAAATTTGGCGAATCCAATTTTTAGCTCTACGTACATTTCCTACATATTACCATTGTATCTAGAGTACCTATTTAAACAATGATATTACCTATGCACGCACTCTTCGATATGTCTCGATCTATTGGACGCAAAAGGAACTATACGAAAGCGAGATGATTATTTTGGGATACTTTCATGAAATGTAGGTTTTAGAAAGTAGAAGTGGGCTACCATCTTACGACGATGCCATCAGAGCTCAGTTCGTTTACCATATAACCATCGGTTGTGAGTTCGCATCCCACAACTTGCCAGTTTTTAGTGGTACAAAACATCTCCTAACTACCATGCTTCGGAGGGGATGTACAGCTGGCGGTGCCGGTCACGACTGTCGTTAAGTCACACAGACGATACTGTTGATGCGATCTGAAAACGTCTGTACCTAGGGAGTGCCACCCACACACGCGATACGTCCTAAAGTTCAAAAAACGATCTACGGACATAGAACATCGACATGCGATTATTACGATCTTTTCCTAGGAATCCTAGGTAGACCGCCCAAAGTCGTCCTATTCTTTGAACGGCTAATCAATGTCTAGTAAACTTGAATTAGTAATATCTAAAATTACTTGTTGTCAGTATTTTATTGCTACAAAGGGGGGAACCAATTAATTTCGTTTGTACTCCTAAAGGTGCTAATAGTACTAACTCTTTAAAACCGTGGTTACAATATGGAAAAAAAACACAATTTATAATCCCAACTTGTCCCTAACGTACGCGGCCATTTTCTCTAAAATCTCGTCGTTGGCCTCCTTGAAGAACTCCAATTCTTTTCCACGTTGTAACCAATCGGCCAGCCTTGGAAACTTTTCGGGATCAATTGGAATTGCCATTTCTATCGCTGTCATCGTGCAAAGAATACTGGCGTCGGCTATCGTAATTTCGTCTCCGCACAGCCACGTACGGTCCTCGAGGAACGAGTCTAGAAAACCGCAAGCTTCGTCAATCTTCTCGAAGCATTTATCCGTAATTTGAGTGGTCAAACCCCTCAGCACAGGAACCTGCAAGAAAGTTGTTAAATTTTGAAATACGCATCCTGCTGGGCTTACAAAGGCGTCCACGAATCTTGGAAAAAGAACTCCGCTTTCAAAGTGAAGTCTTTGATCGACCACGGCTCGCTGCTTGGGGTCCGCTGGGTAAAGAGAGTCGTCGCTGCCGTAGGTCGTAACTAAGTAAGCGTTAATCGCGTGGCTCTCCCAAACGATGAAATCGTCATCTTCCAAAATCGGTATGGTATGTTGAGGATTTAACTAATAAAGTGTAAAATGACCCAAAGGGCAGATACATGATGAATAACCTACCTTTAGTATATCTGGTCCCTGCATAAATTCGTCGTCAACTTCAACAATTTCTAGTTCGAGCTGCAGAGCTCGCGCAACAGTTAGTACAGCCCGACAGGGTGGGCTCATAAATTTCAAGTACACTTTCGGTGCCATGGTCTGAGCTCTCGGAGAGAAAACGCCAGACTAGACAAGGTAATTATGGAAACTCGATATATTCCCACGACGTCGCTTAGAGACGTGATCAACGACAACATTCCACAAGAGGTGGTAATTATCAAGTTATTAGGTCAACTTGGAGAAATTGAGGCGATGAAGTCAATAAATTTAGCGAAAAGTTCCTATGCGTGCAAATCGGTTAGCAAATCTTTTTTGGTGTAGGACAAGAAAGGTCCACGTGTACTCTTCGATTTTTCCATATTGATTTTATGACTTTAACAATTCATGGCTAATGTCGTGGGTCAAGTAAAGTATTTACAATGAATCAATAATAAAGTGTTATTGGGTCAATGAGAACCACCCGGTTAATGTGGTTTGGTAAAAGCTTATAATCATGTCTTTGCTATATATGGCTATACCTATACTTTTTGGTAGTTTACTTAACCTTTTCATATAAGTAATTTTTTTGTAATTTATGCAAATGAGGGGCAAACACAGGAGAGCGTATAATTATATGTATGAGGAAGGACCCAAACAAGATTACATAACTTTTTTTAAGCCGAAAACTCAGCGGGGATTTTTAGGGAGCGAAGCATGGATTAACTTTAGAGACAAAGGCTACAGCCTGTGCTGCTTGTTTTGGTAGTTTTTTCACTGTATGTACCTATATCTTCATGTAACCAAAGTAGCGTAATTTTTCTCACTACTATCATTGAATAAAAACCATGTGGTTTTTATTCAATGCTACTATACTACACTAATAAAATTCTTACTACTAATTACGTAACACGTTTTATTTTATCCTCATTCCTCATTCATGTTCCTTATACGACATTCATTATAGGTAGAATGTTAAACCAGGGACTTTTACAGTCGGCCATGCGTAAGGTATCTAAGGGTATCTATGACAATCAGGGTTTATTTACCCATTTTGTTCATTCGAGAAAATTTCCACGAAATGTACGAGAGTAACGTATTAAAGAAAAAGTAGATGCAGCTCGCTGCAAATTAATACCAAACAAGTCTGCGGATAGGTATAAAAATGAATCTGATTTCTTTAAATGTTGACCAAACTAACTTAGATGTCATGTTGACATACGTTTCTGAACTGGTAAGTCATTCTCTGTTATTGATTCATATAAGTGAAAGTTTTTTTGTTAGTCCAAGAAATTTGAAGCTTCTTCTGTATGGACGAAAATCTCCATGTTCAAAAAAATGTTTAACACACAGGAAAATGTGGACGTTTCTTCCTGTGAAATAGATAAATCCTTTATGAAGACCAATAGTGCAGCATGTTCTCCAAAACAAGAATGATTAACGACACTGGTACCTACGAACACCGCCGATGTTTCCTTGAAGAAATGTCAGCCTTGGACAGTCTTTCTCGGGTACCGTTTCTTCAGGTGGAGTAAAATTTGAAAACGTACAAAAGTGTACAATTAATGTGACAATCAGTGATAAGTCTAAAACCGAAGAAAATGCACCGTTATTTTTAGTAGTTAATGTGTTCCATGAATTATATTCTATACTTCATTGTTGGCCAATAAAAAAAGTGTTGTTAAGAAATTTTTTACAGCACTAGTGTTGTTAAATGTACCTTAACATAACCCGTCGCTAAGGAGTTATTGTTACTATAACGATTTAGTATAAAATAAACGTTTTTAACGTTTTAAATGGCCCATTTGTGTCCAAATAACATTTATTTGAAGAGTGCACACCAATTTTTTCCCGGCGCAACTTTTGGCAGCCAAAAAGCCTCAAAACGTTCGGACTTTTTTCAGTTTTTCGCTTAAAACTCGAAAACGGTCCATATTTTATGAATAACACTTCTTTAGTAAATTAAACAAAACAAAATTCTGCGTCGATAAAAAAACAAACAAAATCGGTCCAATAGAAAAATTTTTACAGGCGATCAAAAAACGCCCATTTTTTACAACTTTTCTAAAGAACTGAGTTAACCTTTTTTTAATGCGTTGTGGCTCCTAAAGGAACGATAAAATCCACTACTCCTCCTCCCTAAAGATTGTAGAACATCAATCAGAGAGTTCAAAAAGTACCAACAATTTAAAATTGGACCAATTTTTGAAATTCGTTGGGAAAAATGGGCGTTTTTTGATCGCTTGTAAAAATTTTTCTATTGGACCGATTTTGTTTGTTTTTTTATTGGCGCATAATTTTGTTTTCTTTAGTTTTATAAAGAAGTGTTATTCATAAAATATGGACCGTTTTCGGGATTTAAGCGAAAAACTAAAAAAATGCCCAAAATTTTGAGGTTTTTTGGCTGCCAAAAGTTGGGCCGGAAAAAATGTGTGCGTACTCTTCAAATACATGTTATTTGGACCCAAATGAACCATTTAAAACAATAAAATCTTTTACACCACCTTTTGCAGGTCAAAATTATCTGCATGCTGGACTAAAAGTAAGTCTTCGTGAAAATTATCTATTTCGAGAAATGCGACCAAAAGCAAAAGATGCACATGCCCTTTGCTTTCCATAAAGTTGCGCCCAATAGATAACAAATGACACATAGGCATTTTTTCACTAATTAGCGGAACATAAACATAGGAAACGTCGTGGTATGTTATATAAAAGAAACACTACCGATATAAACACAATTCCCGTTTTTAGTTAAATTCCTAAGCGGGATACGATAACTAATGGCCGACACTGACAATTTTATTTAAAACAAAGTGTCACTGTTTTGCTCATGGAAAGTCAAGTTAGTGAAAGTGGTGGATATAAAAAAATTCTTGAACTTTTAAAAAAATTCGACTATTTATCTTTCGGTTTGAGATACCTTTTGATTGATTCCCATAAACTTCACATCAACTTGGGGCGAATTTTTTTCAAATTTCCAATACTATGTAGCGATAGAAACCGGTTTTTTTAGGATCTACCATACCTAAGTGAATTCATTCATGCACATGTACCTAATAACTATAAAAATCTATAAATCAGTAAAAATGATTAGAACAAATCACAAGAAATAAAGGGGGTAATTAAAAAATGTTATAACAAACAACGCTAATCTAGTCCACTAATTACGTGAAAACTAGGTAATTTACAGAAGGTGTCAGAAAAATGCAGTAAATGCATTGAGTAAGTAATTTATTCAACGGTAACAGAAATAGGTATTTGTGCATCTCCAGTCAAATATTGTACAGCTTTTCGATAAACTTGTTTACATAATTAGTCCTTGGCATTGAATAAGCACCTTAGATTCAATGTCCTTGGTCATTAGACATGGTCTGAGAACATGATAATAAGATAATAATCAAAACCCAAAATAAATCTTGAATTTTTGAATTGAGTTTCTGTCATATTGACATCGTGTCTCCATTGGTTATCAAATGACATTTAAAACATGTCGGTCTTTAAAAATTTTGAAATTCTACCTAAATTTAGAGTGACATTCAAAGACATGATCAAGGGATTTGTATCTCAGTTAAATTCCAAATCGGCACCTACCCTATACTACTCAAGCATAAGCCCTCCTGCCCTATCCGCATTGATGGTCGCCAAAACGCTAAATGTAGAGGTAAATTTGAAAAATGTGAATATGCTAACGAAGGATTATCTGACACAAGATTTGTTAGAGGTAAGACTGGGTGATATTCTGAAGAGTTGCAGATAAATTTCAGGTAAATCCGCAACATACCATACCTACACTTGTCGATGGAGGCTTTTCAATCTGGGACAGTCATGCAATCGCCGGTTATTTGGTAGGACAATATGGCCAGGACGATCGACTGTATCCCAAAGATAGTAAAAGACGGGCGCAAGTTGATCAAAAACTACACTTTGACACGGAACATCTATTCCCCTGCGTTCACGAAACGGTGGTAGGTCACCCATTGCAATGAAAATGTCATCTACGGCCGTCTATTGTAGTTCCCCTTGCTGTTTCGTGGCAAATCGGATATATCCAAATTTACTCGAAAAAAAGTCGAACGTACTTATCTGACGCTCGAAGAGTTTCTGAAAAGGTCCGACTGGCTTGCCGGAAATAACGTAACGATTGCAGATCTCTGCTGTTGTTCCTCGATCAGCGTCTTGGATTACCTCATACCGGTTAGAGAAGCAAAGCCTCGTTTATTCAACTATATACAACGCTGTAGCGCGCTACCGCATTACCAAGACGTAATACAAAAAGGAGTCGATCAGTTGGGAAATAAAATACAAGAAAGTTTGATTTCAACGTATATTAAGCATTATACTTTGTCGAGAAATAACGACCACTAATAAAAATTTCCATCCATTTACCTTATGAACGGTTAAGTCTCCTTAAGACTTCGGTCTTAAACATCTCATCCCCCTTTTGGTTACGGTTATAGTAAGGTAGGCTCTTTGCTTTTCCCAAGTAACGTATAATATTGGGAAATTGTTTCCTGTCATACTCGGCAACCACCTCGCTTCCTGATACAAGCGGGATTAAGGCAAAATCAGCTAAAGTAACCTTATCACCCGCCGCCCAAACCCGCCCTTTCAGCAATGTTTCTAACAACCCATAAACCTCAATCAGTCTATCCACGTCTTCAGGATTGATGGTCGTAGCGCCCATTAGCATAATTGGTCTCTGCAAAATGTGCGTAATTAAAAATTTCACGTCCCCAAATTTCTCTCACAATGATCGTCGCTGCCGTTGGAAAGAACTTGTTCGAGCAGAAGAATAGTATTTCGTTAACCAGCGCCTTTTCGTAGGGGTCGCTTGGATAAAACGACTTGTCCTTCGCGTACTTCTCCACCAAGTAGATGTTAATTGCGGCACTTTCAAAAATTGCCTTATCATCGTCGACTAGAGTAGGTATTGTGTGCAATGGGTTCAGCTGAAACATACCAGATTTGGCACATTTGAAAGAAAAAGAAAACTACCTTCAGGAATTCGGAAGTTAAATGTTGACCTTTCTCCAGATCGACATGAATATAATCCAAAGAGATGCCGATGGCAGCTTCGGTTAACAAAACAGATCGCACAACTGCGCTACCTTCCGCCATATATAATTTCGGTGCCATAATGTACCTAACTCACTAGGCAATTGAATGATTGTTTTATTGCGTAACAGATCGTACTACGTCTTTGATATAAAATTTATAAGTTGAAACTAACAGATCAGCTAGTAGGTACCTATAATTACAGAGATGAGGCCTTCGTCAATTCAAGGCAAAGCGTTACGAACCTGTTTTTAAAGTAGAAATATGCACTCAACGATATATTTAAGATTAGGAAATCCCTTGCTATTGGAACGTTGAATATACTTATACATTTACAAACCTTGAAATTTTTTATAGATAAACAACACTGATATAATTATAATAAAAATAATTTTCTCAATATCGCTGTCTAAAAAGCGTCGCTCCAATATTAAAATGGTTTCAAACAATCGATAAACGTCGCATTTTACTGTATATAAGAAATGATAATGGCCCTATAGCCTTGCATTGCAGATTACCTTAGGTGACATTTTCTGCAAAAGCACGTGATCGTCGGAGACGTGACAACATTATACCTACATTCGCCATGATTTACCACATTACAGTCGTTTCCCATGGTTTTAACTCGTCGCCCTCGAGAAATAGAAACATTGCTTTTATGCCCTATATAAATAACTATTATGTGTCAAAGTGACATTTTAATAGGTATGAATGAGTAGGCAAAATCGCTCTTTAACCGTAAGGGTAGATAGAGTGATCACTTTAACCGCAAAGGTAGATACAGTGAAACAATCTAATGACATCTGTCATTCTTCTTTCAAATGGGACGCGGCGCACGATATAAAATGACGTTCAGAACATACTCGTATGACAACGCTGTTTCGATGGAACGGACTGCGACGGCAGAACTTGGCTATTTTTGACGTCTAAATTAAAATCAAAATTATCAGAAACTTTACAATGATTAATATGGCTTCTGCTGTTTTGTATTACACACGACGATAAAAGAAAACTAACCATCTCGTGAAAGAGTTAGGTAGCTCGTTTGTCGGGTTTGGTGAGTTCTTAATTCAAACGAAGTTCTGTGAAAATTGAATGAGGATGAGGAACTCATTTCTGTAAAATGAACGTACGTGCGTTCGCTGACTTGGCGCATGTATCGATCGGTACCCGAAATGGCAGAGTGCGAGATCAACGGAAAAACTAAGTTTTAAAAAATCCTATATTCCGATTGGGCCCAATTGTGAGTCCCAACCATCCGACACAGACACAAAAAAAACTGATCAAAATCCGTCCAGCCGCTTACGAGCAGTTCAGTCACAAAAACACGTACAGAAGAATTTTATATATAAAGAAGACATCCATTTGTACGCTACTGTACCGTTGTTACTGTTGTTGCCCTACGTTTGCATGGCACTGCGGGTCGTAAGAGGCGACTGAACAATTACTGATTTGAGTGTTTAAAATCGGTAGAATGTTCTGAGGAATGTAAGATTTGTTGTTAGGGAGGCGAGTAGCATGTGGCAATAAGTTAATTATCAATTTTACTTAATCTATCTAGGTCTAGGTGCTTGCGAAAATGCTTAACAGTGAAGCAACTTCGTTTCTGTGTTCTAAATTTCCTTAACCTTAACCTTCTCTCCGCGCTCGTTTTTTTAAACTGTCGATAACGAATAATTATTATTTTTCAAAATCAAAGTTTGCGAAATTTATTATTGATGTGGAGATAACCCGCAAGTGATCTTTTTTTTTTTCAATGTATTTGGAGCAATCCTGCAGCGACCTCTTTACGATAACGATATTTGGCAGCTTGAGGGATATGGGAGGAGCAGTCATAATAATAATAATAATAATATATATTACGTGCTTTGCAAAACAAAATAATACTTGCACTAGTCAAAAACAACACTCACGATGTCTCTATATGCGTTTGACATGAGCGGCCCTTGTGTTGCCGTTTACCTAACATAGGCAGCGTTAGGGTTGAATTATAAACGAATACAAGTCAACTTATTTAAAAATGAACAATTATCCCCAGAAATATTAAAGGTGGGTAATAATCCATTTGCAATTGTATTTTGCACAAAAGGAATTATAGCTCAATTCCCAACATACAGTGCCAATTTTGGTAGAAGAGGATGGTACGGTCATTTGGGACAGTCATGCCATTAACATCTACTTGTGCGAAAATTATGGAACAAATCAGAATTTATATCCAGAAGATCACGCAAAGCGTGCACTGATTAACCAAAGATTGTTCTTTGACGCATCGATGGCATTTCCTCTTGTTCAAAAATGTCAAGTATGTCCACATGGTTCGTGCAAAGGTTAATTCCAAACTGCTTTCAGCGACTGCGTGTTCAAAGACGAGACCTTCCAGAAAGAAACATAACGAGATTATGCGACATGTACGAAACATTGAACAATTTCATTAAAAATGCTGACTGGGTAGCTGGAAACAGTGTAACTTTAGCCGATTTGAGTTTAATTCCAAATATCACGCTCGCGCACCATCTACTAATGGCAATCGATGTGCAGAAATATCCAAATGTAATTCGATGGATTAAAAATGCGGAACTACTTCCCTTTTACTACGAGAACACAAATTATTTAACTGCGATCACCGATTTCGTTCACAGACCACGCACAAATAAGGTAAAATCGGTTCTGTGAAACTACTCGCCGTTAACCCTTAATACCTATCTATTGTGAATCTTTGACTTCAATAAACATAATCCACTTATCCAAAAAAATTTGTAAACCATAATCTCATACCTACGATGATTTAAACCTTTTTTAACTATAGTAATAGGGAATAAAAGATGCAGAATCAATAATAAACAAGAGAGTTAAATATACCTATAGATTAACGGAATGACAAAAGTAGGTATAATAGTATTATAAGAAAAGGTGCAATAAACCAACAACGGAAGGCAATCAGGGGAGAAGGATAAGTACCAAATGTGTGTTAGAATGCAAGATTGCAACATCCCGAAAGAATAGATATAATAGAATGCAATTGCAAGATAGAGGTGCTTCCAAAGAGTTTCGTAAGCCTGTCGCCTGAGTATAAAAAATTAAAAGGAAAGGACTATAGAAGCAGGTAATAAGAATATATAGGTAAAGTATCAGAAAATGGAGCCAAAAATAGTAAGCTGCTAAAAGAGAGCAACAATATTCGTATATATTCCATTCCAGAATCCGCAAATATATAAGGGCAAAACAATTGACTTTCGGAAAAACTTATTATTCCTTCAGTCTCGAGAAGGGGTGGCATCCATAAGAGCAACCTCCTGTACAGGTCAACGTTACAACGTACATAACACGAGCACAAACTAATTTGCTTATACAGCAAACGCCCATCTTTCTGGAAAGTTCTCGAACGCTCTCGAACAAGACACGACATATTTCCCGGAAAGAATGCGTCACATCCGCTTTCACTTCTTATCGCCGATGACTAATCTTTTATGGCGCCTCGATGTCTATCAGGATTTCTAGAATTTTCCCTACAATATGTATGTACGTATATAGGTGTGACGTCGACCGTCTATGTTTCATTGGAATAACTGATGATGCTAAATGAAAACATATAAAAAAGTACATACAGCCTACGCAAATTAGACCAAAAAAGGTCGCGCTTCTGATGTGACAAATTCTAGATGGAGCTTTAGACATGATGGTAAAAAAAACCCTAAATTTTGGAACCATTTTTTCGGTTATAACTCCTAAACGATGCAACCCATACAACTAATACACCACCTTTTTTAATGAACATTAAATTCTGCGTCGAATGAATTCTCTTCAGCATTTCAAGCGGCTCGAGTTTTACCAACTTATCTAAAATGTTGATTGTGACCTACTTTCAACGCAGGTAATTAATTTTTAAATTACTTTCCGATGGTCAATTAAATCATATTAGAGATCATCCATCAGGAGGGGGTTTAAGAGAATGGAGTGGCCCCTACCCCGCTGGGTTCACAAAAAACCCGTCCGAGCAATTATTATAATATCAAATATTTTATAGGCGGTAGCCAGTAATAGCGGTTAAAATAATCAGCGAAAGCGAGGGTACTGCTTCGGCTACCAGGAGACGTGCAAGGCAGCAGGCCATCCTAGTCCCAGATACATCACGTGGGAGGTAGAAGGAACAACAGGCCATAGCATACAGACAGAAGAACAGCCACTCGCCTGGAATGCGGACAAATTAAATAAATCCCTACTGAATGAAGAATTAACAAAGGTAACTGCCATACCTACCACACCACAATAACTGATGAAGATGCTAACCAATCTGGCGGGAAGACAATGCCCAAAAGGAAATGTATAGGAAAGAATGAGGTGTACTGGTGGAACAAGGAAATGGCTGAAAATCGCTTGGACACGAGCAGGATAGTTAAAGCCAGAAGAGAAAATTCAAATCCGGAGGAACTCAAGAGACAGATGGATAGCCTGAGAAATGAGCGTAATACCACGAGGAAAGCTATCGACAGAATGAAGAGGGAATGCTGGAGGAAGCTGCGTGAAGAGCTACACAAAGACCCGTGGGAGAGAGCGTATTAAGTAGCTGCACAGAAATTTGAAAGAAGGTCAATGTCAGAACAGACTCTGAGGCAAACAACAAAATCGAAATTCGCTTCCCACTGACAGCCTCTACAAAGTGGAGCGATGAGGTAACCCCTCCACAGATAGCTGTACAAGAAAAAGTGACGAATGCTCAAAAAGAAAGTGCCAGGGTCCGGTGGAAAACCGTCAGAGTTGTTAAAGCAGGTTGCATTATCGAGGCCAGAAATATTTCAAAAAAAGGCGAGTATCTGGCAGCATGAAAGGAGTCCACTCCCTTTTTTTTTTAAATACTCGTGTTCTGTTATGTACTGACCAAATATAATTTTAGCAAAATGAAGACGTTTTATTTTAGTGATCGTTTTCTTTTTTCTGTACATGGGTAGGTACCGATACAAATCACAAGAATTCTCCCAAGGATTGTATACACTAATAGAGAATAACAAGTTATATACTAAAAAAACTTTCTATTTCAAGTTTTACACTGCACATTTTTGCATATTAATATTCAGTTAACGGATATTAAAATTAAATTGACACATTCATTCAATAAAAGGAATAAAATTACATCTTGTATAAATACTCAACACACTCATTTAATGATATCGAATTAAGACGCCAAAATTCACAATTAAAAATAATTACATTCCGGATGCTATGCTTTTGAACATATCACCAGATAAAAGACTATCTAGAGCTCTTTGCACTGTAGGATCATTTAACAACGGCGTAGAGTTAGCAGGAGTTTGTGGCGGTTCAACTGGCTTGGGCATTTCGTCAGTCGACTTATTCAAAATGTTCATTATACGGCTCTGTAGTTCGGCCTGTTTGCTATTCGGCTGTGGTTCGCCATCATTATCACCGCCACCTTCTGTTGCTTCGAATTGGCGCTGAAGATCGCTGCGATCTTGAAGATACTTTATGATACGGTCATACTGAGTTGCCGTCATTTGTCGATTTTCTGCTAGAAGATTTAATATCATCTGAAACGAGTAGTTGGAGTTAGAAATTAAACCATTCTACCTACATACTTGAATATTTTCCGGATGTCGACTCATAAGCGAAGCTCCAGTTCCTAGTGAAACAGGCTTTTCACCTCGCATGTACGCTTCAAAATTTCGACCGATTAGTGTAATAGCATCTTCAATGGGCATATTGCGATGCTCTGCAAGGAAACACAATAGCGAATCGAATTGATGGGAGTTTTTGCAATTACCTTGGGGAATGCCATGCAAAATGGTTAAGGTCAAACTGTGAAACTCCTCATTTTGGGGCATCACTAAAATTGCATACAGACAACCTCTGCTGGATATATTTGCAAGTACCCGACCAATAGGTACGTCCTCATTTGGAAACAGTAAGTCAACCATTAAACCTATACTTTTCAGACGTTTCTCAATGTACTCCGCATATTCCCTGTAAATTGCTTTTATGGAATCTGGTGGATATGGAATATGGTATGGGTAATTGAATTCTCCTTTACTGGGGGGTGCTGTACCCCCCACTGTTTCAATCCCCCCATGACCGTCTGCTTCACGAATTTCATTACAGATTTCGGGTAAGAAGCCAGTGGACGTACCACTTAGGGAGGGGTATTGTAGGGAGAGGGTCATTGAATTTTCCTTTTATGGCATTGTGTGCAATTTTTCTACTCACTTGTAATAGCACTATTACAACCTTATGACGTAATATACTATCTATTACATTACAGTAATATGACTGCTATTAGTCCTATATTTTCCATACAAAATTGGCACGGATAGAGGGCGCTGTAGTCGTGGGTAAACTAATCGTGTCAGATTGCGTAAAGAGCAGCTTTTATAGCAATCGCATAGTATGGGAAGCTTTAAATACTCTTCATTATCTTCATAAATCAGCCATTATAATTTGGGTGTAAGTAGAAAAAAACGATAAGTATCAATAAGGAAACGCTGCATTATTTTTTATGTCATGTCACTGTTGTGATAAATTAGGCAACACAACATACTTATGTCTAAAAAATAACAAGTTTTTGAGCACGCTATCGTGTGCAGCTTTTAACCAACCCTCATATTTGTAGTAGTGCAGACATAACGTTTTAATAAAATAATAATAATAACGATCACAGGTGGGACATTAAAAATCACGTTGAAGCTATTTCTCAGCCCCATTCCTATTTCGCAAGGATACTTACGTTAACAGTCGTGAAACCACAATTATTTCACAGTCATTGCGATCCGGTCTATCCATAAGCGGAGGAGGTATAAAGGACGGGCCACGAAAGGAATCCTCCCCTCTACCATAAAACGGATCACGTACGACCACTAAATCTCGAGGTGGCATACCTCTTAAATCACGTGGAGGTCCAATGTCTCGTGGCGGTCCAATGTCTCGCTGCGGTCCAATGTCTCGCTGCGGTCCAATGTCTCGCTGCGGTCCAATGTCTCGTGGCGGCCCAATGTCCCGCGGTGGTCCAATGTCTCGCATCGGAATATCTCTCGTACTAAAAAATGATTGCACCACCAATGTATAATGAAGTGTTGATAACTTACGGGAAGTCCTCATTACGGAACCTATCGATCTCTCGCCTGTTTCCATCCTGCCGATTGCCACTAAGAGAACGTTTTCTATCTGAATTATCCGAACCGACGTCAGAAAGTCGACCCTGACCCGTGGGTTCCTCCTTTTTATCAATCGGTTCTTCCTTGGAAACATCCATTTTTTCGATTGGTTCTTGCTTGGGCACGGTCACCATGCTGTCCATTAAGGGTTTCGGTGTATTATGCGAAGGTGGCCCCTGCTGAGTTGAGGGAGGTGGCGGTGGAGACTCCATCATTTGATTTTGTAGCTGTTGCACTTTCGGTGGCGGTGGGACATGCACCGGTGTCATATTGTGGTGGGGTTGATTGAGCCGTGACTTATCAACTGCTTGCCGGACATTCAGTTTGCGACCGAAAAACAATGCGCCGTGCTCGTTTTTTATGGCGGTTTGTGCTTGAATGTCACTTTCATACTGGATGAAGCCGAAACCGCGCTGCAGAACTAAACCCAATATCGTACCGTAAGTTTTAAATCGCTCTTCCAAGTCGATAGTGGTGACCTGTTCCATTAAGTTTCCTATATATATTCTTGAAGATGCTGTAGCGGGATTTTTCATGAACTGTTTATCGCTGCGATACATTTTCCGGCTAATGTACTATCAATTTAATTCTGAATTAAATGTGTTTAATATTTAAATATTCGCCGTGTTTATGGTCTTGTTTTGTTGGATAAAGACGCTTACAGAGCTACCACAACATCAAACTTGCCAAATTGCAACGCTACAGTCATACCAACTAATACAATATTAAAAGCCTACACCAGTGGCGTAACTAGTAAGGTACCTTTACACTATCAATACTTCTCATGTGATTTGTCATGTGATAAGTAACAAGCATTTAGATTTGTGTTTACACTATACTATTTTTGGTATTATGGCTGTCATAAGACAAATCATAAGGAAATAATACGTAAATCGTGGAATGGGGATGTTTCTATTTCTGCATGACAAATGACATGACTTATTTTAAATATCCCAGTGATCCCGCCCTTTTATGGTTACTTTTCGCATTTTGCTGTTGTACTTATCTGAAAAAGCTGAATACTTGAGTAAACCAGTAAACTTTTGATTATATCATTGATTATAGGTGTGTACATATAATCAATGATTATAGGTATATTAGTTACTAATGAAAGAATAAATTACATAAACAATAAATCGAGCAATAAATATTTAAGAGTATATTGGTATTTGGTTGTCTGGTTGTAGTGGTGTTTTCAGACACACATTGTCAAATAGTGTCTTGATTGGTAATTAACCCTTCAAATGTTTGGGGTAATCTTTCAAATAAGGGTACACTCATCCTTAATGTCGACCAAGGGAACGACTCTGTTTGCTTTGTTAATGAAACGCATAACGGAGAAATTATTTTTAAAATAATTGTTAACTTTTTTCGTTAAAAATGTACTATGATTTTTGAGGCACTTTAGAAGTTCACCTATTTGTGCTTTACAGGTAATTTTTTTGAGTTCTAAGTTACCTAGCCTGAAGGTACTTTTTTGTTGAATACTTATTGTGATAATTAGCGATTTATTTTAATACAGAAGTTAATCGCACAAAATTGCTTATTTGCCAATTTATTTAAAATTTTGCGGGATCCCGCAAATACCGGGTTCCTGCGGGATTAACATCTAACGATCCCGCAAATACCGGGATTGAGATTTTGCTGCGGGATTGCATTCCCTAGCTGTAACTTTTGAACTAGTAGCCCAATCTTGGAACTGTTTGAAATTATGGATTCTACAGGCCACGTTCTATAAGAAAAATTTTTTTCCGGGTCGATCTGAGACAATTTTTTTTTCGGGGCAAAAAAAAGGCAGTGTATAACCTTCCTTTTTTCCAAAAATCGACTGCACCAAAATTTCTCGGGAAAACACTTTTTCGTATTAATTTTGGTGCGTAGAATCCAAAACAATTCGTACTTTTTCGATCAGACTTCTCAATCAAAAGTTATAGACTAGAAACCAATTTCGAAAGAAAATTCAAAGGGCTGTAACTTTTGAACTATTATAGTAGCCCAATCTTGGAACTTGGAACATTTTAATTTAGAGAAGTTATATAGGTTTCGTAACTTCTTGTATTAAAGTCATATAAAAAACCTGTCAAGTGTAAAGTAAAGCATTAAAACTCATACGAAAAATATGTCGGTAGTAAATATCATATATCATATAAAAAATCATGTGAGATATATTATAGTGTAGTAAAGGTACCTTTACCGGGAAACCTTAGATATGTCATTAATAAATATGGGCCAAACTTTCACAATTTCTATAATGGCTCGAACACTTTCCTCCTGTGCTGTTTGCTACGGTAATTCCAATTGAACAAAGTACATAACCCATTGATTTCTTTATATTTCCTCCAAATAGTTTTTTTAATTATGTAATTAACAAAGTAATATGTGTTATTAACGTGGCACACTATCCCAAGTTAGGATAATGTCCCATGTTGTAGAACAACTCTTTTGTTGCTCTTTTTTCTAAAATAGCTTCAAATTTAACCGCAGGTTAAGGTAAAGCGAGTGTCCTACACTTTGGCTAACGGTTAAGTAAACTTCGACCTATTTTCCGGAAGCGTACGTACGTTGGAAGCGAAAACCCCCTAAGGGAAATGGTCCTTAATAATTAAAAAAATGAAAAAACGAGAATAGAGGCTTTAGATGATAGCAAAACTAAACCAGCGAATCAAAAAATGCTATAGAAAGAAACAAAATATCTCTAAAAAATGACTCGGTATGATATCCAGTATATCTCTAATGGTTACAAGAACGACTGCCCCCCTCCTAGGCTCCACAAGGCTGCCATCTGGATCATGGGGGAACCTCTTACGACCTGGCGGCGGTCATGCGGGGCTACTGGTGTCTATTCCACATAGCCGTGCAGGACCTCAAGGGAGGCTGCTAGATTTCGGTATTGAGGAAAACGACCAGGCTAACCAAATCGCCGAGGGGAGGTTTGGTGTTTGGTTCAGTCTTCCACTGTAACACAGTCACAATACTGCATTTGATATAATAAACCTGCATAACTTTGCTATGAACTTTATTTTTATAAAAATTTAACAACTGTTGTGTTTCTTAACAATTAAGTTTTTCAAATGTTAACATCGTATCGTTCACAATATGTTTTTACAAATCATACAATAATTAATAAATAAAAATATATAACTCAGACAACAGCCAACACAACGGAATTCAATTTCACTTCTTCCCGTTTGTAAAAAAAATAATACTAACGAACCTCAACCTAACCTAAAAATGGCAATGATAAGAGCAAATTATGTACAAAATTACATATTTTACACTTTAAAACATTAGGGAAATAAAAAAAAATAGTTTAGAAGCACGTAACATTCAGCCTTATAGAGAAATTATTGCTATGTCGGTAAATAAATGGATGATGTAATGGCAAGTGAGACAAATACTATTAAATATACTTAATTGACGTAAGTAGATATTGCATGAGGGGGTGTATGTGTGTGTGTGTGCGCATTATCAACCGATACTTGACAAATAAGCTTAAGTACATAAGAAGGTACATAGTGAAATGTATTGGAATGTGATGTTTACGATAACACTGCTATATTAATTCATTTACGATATCAATTTTAATAGAATTTATTGAAAGAGAGGCAAATTTTATAAGGCCTCTGTGTAACGATAATAAAAAACAGGCACTTAAAAGTAGTAACAAACAATAATTTGTATTTGTAAAGCATTTCGCGCTGTACGAAAAGACAAAAACTTAACTCCTACACGATTACGTAATACTGAAAATGGAAGCAAGAAGTTATTATAGCAGGATGACTTATTTATGAGGTACACTGAAGAATATTGTAGCTCGCAGACTAATGATCAGGTCCTAGCAAAACAAAGGATGTGGCGAAAAGAGTAGCGAAAACAAAGTGGCCACCCTGTTCCAAATCAACCGGCATATCTGAGGAACAGTGAAATTTTGAAGTGTGAATTAGACTTGTTTCTTTGGTAAGGAAGACAATTTAGAAAAATCTGACAATCTGATCACATTTTAACATGTTTCAACATCATCAGTTCTGCTGACAATTTTTCTGTTCCTAGAACTGTGAAAAGAATTAGTAACCCAGCAATGAGCGGAAAAAAAGGGACACTGGCAGCTTGGTTGAATTGGAACGACGACTTCTTTCGCGATAATAAACAATGGCAATGCGAGTGAATTAATTAGCTTTCACATTGAAAACTGAAAATTCCAATTGAAAATTTTGATTTTTGTGCGTCAAAGAAACTAAGTAAGCTAAAACGATTTGACTTACCTCTTAGTGATGCGCTTTTTCATTTGATTATCATAAAAATGGAATGTCAATAGACCCTTTTAATAAATAAACGATCTAACGGCTAACAATTCTACTACGCTAATACTAATGATATAGGCCTTAAAAGTGATGAGAGATGGACGGATGATAGGGGGAATGTAAATAAACGCAAAAACTCTGATCTATTAGTTGGCAGTGTTTTTTTTCTGGGAAAACTAGAACCGGTTTCGGAGTTCTCTTAATAGAACAGTGTTTAAAAAAACGGGATATGAGCAATGAGTGATCGATTATTGTATAACGCAGCAACGTTTTGACTTAGAATAACCTACAATTTCGTCCGTATGACCCGTAAATCTATGAATATCATTGGAACTAGACGTAGGAATGGATTCGTTATCGGGAAGACCACTAACTGGTGATGTCAAGCTATTGACATCGCTCGAACTATTTCTAATTTGCATTCTTTGTTTTTTTAGATCTGCTAAAGTTCCATTACCATTAATTGTAACAACTACATGCACCACTGTAACTTTACCATTAACATCGGTCGTATAGGTAGTTTCGTTCTTGGTATCGATCAGTTCGCCGTTCTCCAACGAGTCGTTATCTTTCCCCTCTGGACCCTTTCTACTTTCGAGGACTGCTACCGCCAATGCATTTCCGTTTTCGTAACCTTCGCCGCGACCGATATCGTTAAACTTTGTGTTTTGTACAATGCTGTCGATGTTGTCGATACCCTATAAGAACTACAGTTAAAAATCATCTCAAAAAGAGCGCAATCACACACTTTATACGACACGCAAACGACGTTGTGTTTTTTTCGAAATCTCATTGCGAACTTTCATGAGAATGATAACGAAAGTGTTTAGCAATTAGAGTTTCCCCGCGGAATGAAGCGCGCTTGTTAAGTGTAAGAGTCAAAAACCAATCCAATCACTTTTTATTTAAGCCACTCCACTTACTCATTGATTGGAAATAATTGCTTGTTGCAGTTTCTTTCATTATTACAAATATTATGCGCATTTCATTTGAAATTCATTAAATTAAAATTCATAATTTCTTTTCTAATAAGCCTTGTTATCTAATAGTTTCACAGCTCTTCCCCACATAACAACAGGTAAAAGAGTGGAATTTGTGAGAACATTTGCACTAGCGACATGTGTTTAAATAAACAATTTATAAAATGTAACTTGAGAAATTGGCGGAACAAATAAACAATTTTACCATATGGTAGGTGATAGAAGTTTAATTGGTTTTAATTGAAAGGATAGACATAGAGGCTCAGAAAAACATTTTAAAAATACAAAACAAATTTCAAAAAGTCGTACGGAAAAAATTCAAGAAATTTAACAAAAATTAAGAAAGTAGCTGCAAGATACATATTGTTGTATCCATGAACGTCACATGTGACATGTGGTTTATACACAGTTCAACCGAGGCCTACGATACTTACAGGCCGGAGCGCTCGTAAAAGTCACGTGACGTTAGGAGTCATATGTACATTACGGCTTATGGATCCGGATCCGTTCAACATAGACCCACGAAATTTCACTGAGAGCTTGTCAATAGTACACACAATCAACTTATGGTGTTCGTTAATTTTTAATAACGCTAAAAATAATTCATTTTTAGGTTTAAAGTATTGAAAATAAAACGATGTTAGCAAATCCGCGTTTTTCTATCTTTACATCATCATATTTCTTTTTCTAGGAACTATATCATTATAATCCTTTCGTATATTATGCCTTACCTAGTATTAGTATAGTTTTAACAGGCCCTACAAAATCGCGTATTAATTATCCGCGCAGAGAAAAATTCACCATGCGAGAAACTTTTTTGTTACTGCTATAATTGTATCACATATATCGAATGAATTGTGGCCAAAGGACACAAAAATGTTCTTCAGAAGGAAATTTTGAGAAATGGTCTCTTGTTTCCTTTTTTTCAGCAGCTGAAGTAAATAGCGCGATCTTAAGAATAAGTGAATGCCCAAAGGAATTATTATGTTTCAAATAATTGTTAGTAGGTAGGTAATCGATTTTCAAATTGTGTTTGTGAGATTTAAATTTACATTAAACTTATAAAATGAAAAATATTAGGATTATTTTTCATCAAAGATTTTGTTTCGTCGTGTATTTTAGCAGATGAGGCGATGTTAAATATAAGTATTGAAATATTCTAAGATTTAGAAAACGACAAAATAGTTACTCATATTTATTGGAGAATATATCATACAAAAACTGTTTGGAAGATATGCACCTGTTCTAGGTGTCAATGTCAAAGTAAATTTGCTACTGAAAGACCACTGGAAATTGATGATTCCAGTAAAACAACGAAATTAGAATACATAAGATGTTTAGATAGAGGTGGTTTGAGATATCCCACTGATAGTTTCCTGAATTTTTTAATAATAGCCTATAATATTTTTAAACAACTTATTTCTGAAAGATACGAAAAAGATTTTTTGTCATGCGGTAAGCGAAAATTATTATTAATAAAAATATTTTTGAAGAATTTAGAAGTAGACGATGAAATTTGCGACCAATGTCAGAATAGTTTTAAATACTACATTTCAAAAAGTTTGCAAACATTTGCCAACATCCTACTAAATAATTATTCAAAATGTAAGAATAACAATTTAAGGGACAAGACTAGGACAACAAAAATTGAAGAAACTGATGTCAGTCAAATAGGCAGTTTTATATTAAATTAAGAGTTGATTGTTGGATTTTAAAATATGACTGTGTCTATATTCTTAAAATATATTATTAATTTTATATTGGTAGTGTTTATTGAAATCTAATCTAGCGGCCTGGGCCAGTCCGGCACTGCCTATTCCTTACAAGCTGTACTTTTTACTAAAACTGCTGTAAGTTGGATAGAAAAAGTTATTTTTTAAAACTTACTTATTCAAAAGGTTATTTTTATTTATTCATAGAATGAAGATGAAAGCCTACGGTACTTACCAGGGCTCATAAGCGGACAAGACAAATTTCCCATTTCACTTTCACACGAGTAGGTATAACTAAAATACTTTATGTACTGATATCTTTAATTTTTATAAGTTTAATGTAAATTTGAATTTCACAAATACAATTTGAAAATCGATTACTAACAATTATTTGGAACATAATTCCTTTGCGCGTTCACTTATTCTTGAAATCGCGCTATTTACTTCAGCTGCTGAAAAAAGGAAACAAGAGACCATTTCTTAAAATTTCCTTCTGAAGAACATTTATGTGTCCTTTGGCCACAATTCATTCGATATATGTGATACAATTATAGCAGTAACAAAAAAGTTTCTCGCATGGTGAATTTTTCTCTGCGCGAATAATAAATGCGCGATTTTGTAGGGCCTGTTAAAACTATACTAATACCAGATAAGGCATTATATACGCATAATTGGAGGTGCATATCATTCTAGTTTAAGGCACCGAAAGGATGATAATGATATAGTTCCTAGAAAAAGAAATATGATGATGTAAAGATAGAAAAACGCGAATTTACTAACATCGTTTTATTTTCAATACTTTAAACCTAAAAATTAATTATTTTTAGTGTTATTAAAAATTAAGGAACACCATAATTTGATTGTGTGTACTATCGAGAAGCTCTCATTGAAATTTCGTGGCTCTATGTTGAACGGGTCCGGAGTAAAAAAATAAATAGTGGAGCCGCGCACGGATTTTCCATAAGCCGCAATGTATTTCATATGACTCCTAACGTCACGTGACTTTTTCGAGCGCTCCGGCCTGTAAGTATCGTAGGCCTAGGTTCAACTCAATATCAAATGATCCTGAATTGCTAGCGCCCCTGTGTGTTGTTGCCAGTTCCACCCAGTTGTAAATCCAGTGCTAAAATGTCACGATCTGAGACACTCTAGAAGACAGACCACTCATTATTACAGTAGTGAAAAAAAAGAAACAATTTAAATCAATCAATCCAGTTGTTCAACAGTTTTTTAACTATTCTTTTAGTTATAATGTAGCAAGTGATCCATTATCTTATTTGGGACATACAGGGTGACAATTTGAAAACTTACCACATAAACATGGAAAATCGTATTTAACTTGAACTTCCAAAGCCGACTCGACAGCAACTCATTTTTGATCGTCAGTTATAATCTATTCTCAAACTCTTGTCGAACCTTTCCAATGTTGGTTTTGCAATATTTCGACATTCTTGAATTATTCTCTGTCTTAGTTCGTCTATGTTCGCCGGTTGCGTTTTAAATACGACAGATTTCAAATGTATCATATTAGTTTATTTTTTGATTTGCACGATAATTACTAACCTAAATGTAATGCTATTTGGTATGGTTGGAAAGCATTTTTTCAGAGCTTTCCAACGACATATCACACATGGGGGTCACTATTTAAGATTTAAAAGTTGGGGTGGCTGGGGCGCAGGGGGTTGGAGGGGGTGCGTCGCCAACTATGTCATTGTGATTCCCCCTCCGAATTACCGAAACGGATTTTGATTTTTTTAAATATCTCGTTTATTTACTAAGATATGGGGGGTGGTAAGTTTTCAAATTGTCACCCTGTATATAATTACGACAAATTCGTTCTTATCATTTTTGTTGGTTTTTATAAGATATTTCTCTGAATTTGAGTTTACGTATTATATTATTATTATTTATTATTTGATTAATTAATTAAGGTAGTCTGTCCGTCTGCCTTTAGAATGTGTTGCGTTGGCAATACCCAGGTAGTAGTGGTTTTGGTTACTTGTTTTTCTTCAGTGGGAGTCGCTTTTTATGGTGAAATGCTTCAATTTGTTAAATAGTTAAACAGCAATTATTTTGGATTCCCAATTAAGTTCGGTCAGGAGGAATTTTTCGAAATCATTAAAAATCTTCTAATTATGGCCAAAAATAAATCAAATGATCAGGAAATAAAGGCTTAACTTAACATAACTGCATAACAGGCCCAAATTCAGTCTGTCACTTGTCCATCTCCAAAATTTTAGGGACTATGACCTTAAAAAATGCCCCCTTGAACCCAAACTTGATATGTCCAATCATTGTTGGTTATATCCTTCATGCTTAGCCCCCCCACCCCCCTTAATTACGGATGACGCACCTGTTGTCTTTTGGAATGCCAACAAAATGAATTATAATAAGGGAAAGTCATTGATCATGCTCTACAGCTACACTATCCATTCTGTCTCGCAATGAGGGATAAAATAATATCAATTGTAAACCTCTCGCCAGAAAAGATTGCCGGTCACAGAACACCTGACCCCGGTCTACAATCTACGTTTTTCTTAAGACGCGAGCGACTTCCGGGGTAGTATCGTGCACGATCCTATTCTGGAAGTCGCTCGCATCTTAAGAAAAACATAGATTGTAGATCGACACAAGGTGTGCTGTGACCGGCAATCTTTCCTGGCGAGAGTAATAGTAAAATATACTTACTTTTCCTTCTAGAATCTTTCCAACAAAGTGTCAATAGTATGAAGATGCATTAAAATTAGCCCATTGAAATAGTTGTTAAATTATACAGATGCTTAACACAGTGCAAATAAAATGTGGAGTAATTTTGAACTATTGTCAATTTGTTTAAGTCATCACACTATATCCAAACAAGCACTTTTTGTTGTTATACTGTAATATGATGTGCATTCATTTTCTTCACTCCACATTTTATTACAACAACAACAACTATAGATGCATGTCGCACAAACCAAGAACATTTACTACGCCGAACAACATGCAAAAATTTAGTATGTGTCACGAGTTTCGTTTATTAATCGTGGTGCATCTGCAAAATTCCCAATTGTTTCAAATCTTTTGAATTCGTAATCATGTTTATTATTCAACATCATTTATGTTTCCAAGGTACAAGGTCAAGCTGAATCCTTTATACCATATAAGAAACTAGCAATTGAAGATTAGTACGTACCTAATGCATACTCAAATAGTCTGTTTTGGTTACAAATTTTCACTTTTATCTAACATCATAAATACTATTTACTTTATACCTACAATCTGTGGAATTTGACCACCTCTCTAGTCAAATATAGAAATACAACCAAACAATTTTAAGCACTGGTCACAGACATCTTAAATGTTAGCCATGCGCGTTTCCAAGAAAACTTAATGCGCACGCGCAGAATCAAGTATCATCTTGACAAAGATAACTGCATCTAATCAAAGCAGTCAAGGTTTCGACCGAGGTCTACCAATTTTTGACAAGTGCACAGGCAACCCACATACAAAACCAAGACCATGTCGGTTGTAGCCTTTATCTACCCTTATAGTAGGGGAGCTAGCACGAAATCCACTGAACGAGAATGATCAAAATTTTAACCGATGGAGTTCCATTTTGCCCTATCAGAGTATGCTAAAATCGATCGTCTGCCGCCTCAGGTCATACGACTTAAGGCGCTGCGGGTACTTCTTGTGCTACCAATTCTGAAAGGTTGTTTTTCGAGAAAATAAGTTATACACCAAATGAAAACGTTGATAATAGCTCTTAAAAAAATATTTAAAAAAATCGCGCACATTTGATAACACCGTAAAAAAACAATTCTTAGTCGGTTTTTCACGAACTTTCTACGGATATAACTAGGTTACCGTTGGAAGAATGAAGCTGATTTTTTTACAGACTAATCATAGGTACAGCCAATGACTATGATAGTGGTTCTTTTTTAAATTTTTTCTCTAATTATAAGATATCTTATAATGTTAAGATAATAAGATAATCTTGTAATTAGAAAAAAAATGTAAAAACGAAACACCGTTAAGTCATTAGTAGTACCTATCATCAGTCTGTAAAAAAAATCAGCTTCATTCGTCCAACCGTAACCTAGTTATATCCGTAGAAAGTTCGTGAAAAACCGACTATGAATTGTTTTTTTACGGAGTTATCAAATGCGCGCGATTTTTTTAAATATTTTTTTAAGAGCTATTATCAACGTTTTCATTTGGTGTATAACTTATTTTTTCGAAAAACAACCTTTCAGAATTGGTACCGCAAGAAGTACCCGCAGCGCCTTAAGTCGTATGACCTGAGGCGGCAGACGATCGAGTTTAGCATACTCTGATAGGGCAAAATGGAACTCCATCGGTTAAAATTTTGATCATTCTCGTTCAGTGGATTTCGTGTTAGCTCCCCTACTATTAGGGGATTTAAATGAAAGCAAACGCAGCGCCCATTAGAAAGTATGTACAGATTGCTTTTGCACTTTTCTTTTGTTTTTAGATGGTGCAAACGAAATCGTGACACATACTCCACAGCAATTAAAAGCGAACACCACACGAAATTACCTTTTTATTTTCCGCTTGCATCCGCAACCGCGCCTCCTCCACCGCGTCCCTTCGCGCGGTGAGCCCCTTATCGCGCAACGACGTCCGCCGTACGGACTGCGCCCTCGTATTGCTCTGCGACCTCCGAACTCTCTGCCTCTTGTTCTCCGCCAGTCTCTTGTTCTCCTGCTCCGTCCGCAACTGCAGTATTCGATCTTTCAATTCCGGATCCTCGCAGATATCTGTCGGAAAGAGTGAGCACCACAGTAAACTAATTTACCGACAACTAACCGGCGGGCGTCTCCTCGTTTTTGTTTTTCGCGTTGAGATCGGCGCCGTACTGGGCGAGAATTTCGAGGACCTCCAACTGAAAACGATCGTTATACTTACAGCGCCTTAAATATAGTGTAAAGAATGGAAGAGTGAGACAGACCACATACAGGGTCATTCTTGACTAGCGTCAGTTAGAAAGATATGGAAAACCTTTGAAAATGAAGATAAACTGATAAGTTTTTTAAGGGTTTTGGTACATGATGAATTGAACTAAAATATTTTCAAGATGGCGCCACTTCCGGAAATACCGGAAGTAGCCATCAACTTTGGTATTTTAAATAGGAACCCCCTATTTTTTCTACATTTTCGGTTTCTACATCGAATTAGGAGTACAACGATACCCCATAGTTGACCCTTTGCTCCAAGGTCTTCGCCGATATTCAAGTTTTTGTCAAAAATTGAATTTGCAGGGGTAATTTTAAAAATTTATTATTCGAAAACGGTGAGAGATATTGCAACACAATTTTCACTGATTTATTAAAGAAAGATCGAATTTTTCTATGGTATGCGTAACAGTCTAAAAAAGTGAGACTACAACACTTTTTCAAAGCTCTCAACTTTTAAACTTTTAAATATCCGTAACTCCATTTTTTCAAATGGCACCCCCCATAGTTGACCCTTTGCTCCAAGGGGTTCGCCGATATTCAAGTTTTTATGTAAAAAATTGAAAGCAGCGAAAATTTGACGTTTAAACATTATCAAAAAACAAAAGAATAACAACATCAAGCGACTTAATTTTTTTATCAATTTGCCCCAAGAAGTAACTAAAACATGGAATATCTCGGAAACCGTTTGAAGCAGCTTTTGACATTTTGTACCAAATTAAAGCTCTGGGAAAAAATAAAACAACGGTGAAGAACAAAATGGGGGGTGCCATTTGAAAAAATGGAGTTACGGATATTTAAAAGTTGAGAGCTTTGAAAAAGTGTTGTAGTCTCACTTTTTTAGACTGTTACGCATACCATAGAAAAATTCGATCTTTCTTTAATAAATCAGTGAAAATTGTGTTGCAATATCTCTCACCGTTTTCGAATAATAAATTTTTAAAATTACCCCCGCAAATTCAATTTTTGACATAAAAACTTGAATATCGGCGAAGCCCTTGGAGCAAAGGGTCAACTATGGGGTATCGTTGCATTCCAAATTTGACGTAGAAACAGAAAATGTAGAAAAAATAGGGGGTTCCTATTTAAAATAACAAAATTGATGGCTACTTCCGGTATTTCCGGAAATGGCGCCATCTTGAAAATATTTTAGTTCAATTCATCATGTGCCAAAACCCTTAAAGAACTTATCAGTTTATCTTCATTTTCAAAGGTTTTCCATATCTTTCTAACTGACGCTCGTCAATAGTGACCCTGTATATTATCATCATTGTTTAAACATTGCAAGTAACATATGCAGCTCACTAAGGGGCAGTGATAGTATTTTTCACAAGGCTCTGGGTAACAGAATGGCAATTATTGCGTAGAACAGCGGTTCTCAACCGGTGGATTGTGACCCCCAGGGGGACCACGGAACATGTCGGGGGCGAGTGCGACTTGCGAGACACAGCACACATTTGCGCGCAGGATTGAGACAGAATTTAGGACATTTTCTATTATTTTTGCAAATATTTGTCCTACCAAATATTGACATCTTTGGTACGATAGCATTTTTTATGACATCTAGTTTGGAACATTTATATATTTTATTTCATTTATTTGTCTTATTTTAGGTCTTTGTTTTTGAGCGGGCGGGGTTTCAGCCAAGGCTGCTCTAACAACCCAACACACTATACATTTACAAATATCCATGCCCGAACCCGGATTCGAACCAGTGACCCTTAGTACTACAGTTTTCACTTTTGTTAATGTAGGTAAAATAAGTGAGATTAACAAAAGATTTAAAATTCGCAACAAATACCAATAATCGCTACACGGCTGTGACAATAGCCAGAGCAGCAATAAAACTTTGAATTTTGAAACATTTTTCGAATTTGGTACTTATAATTGCAATATGACTATTACTAATATTATTAACAAAAGTGCTAAATTATGCACCACACTTACCTGTTAATTGCCTTTTTAAACAAATAATCGCAAAGTTATGTTTTATTAACACTTCTGCTGCAATGCACGAACGATAAATACTGTAAGGTAAAGAGTGGACAATTGAAATGCTAGAAACTAGCGCCACCTCTTTAAATATTTTTTAAGTTGTGTACTAATGAAAGTGAGGGAGTTGTTTCGGATACACTAAACTTAAACAAAACTGCTAAGGAAAGGGAACTTATTTTCTTTTTGTTTGACTATACAGGGTGACAATTTGAAAACTTACCACCCCTCATATCTTAGTAAATAAACGAGATATTTAAAAAAATCAAAATCCGTTTCGGTAATTCGGAGGGGGAATCACAATGACATAGTTGGCGACGCACCCCCTCCAACCCCCTGCGCCCCAGCCACCCAACTTTTAAATCTTAAATAGTGACCCCCCATGTGTGATACGTCGTTGGAAAGCTCTGAAAAAATGCTTTCCAACCATACCAAATAGCATTACATTTAGGTTAGTAATTATCGTGCAAATCAAAAAATAAGCATGGAAAATCGTATTTAACTTCAACTTCCAAAGCCGACTTGACAGCAACTCATTTTTGATCGCCAGTTATAATCTATTCTCAAACTCTTGTCGAACCTTTTCAAATGTTGGTTTTGCAATATTTCGACATTCTTGAATTATTCTCTGTCTTAGTTCGTCTATGTTCGCCGGTTGCGTTTTAAATACGACAGATTTCAAATGTATCATATTAGTTTATTTTTTGATTTGCACGATAATTACTAACCTAAATGTAATGCTATTTGGTATGGTTGGAAAGCATTTTTTCAGAGCTTTCCAACGACGTATCACACATGGGGGGTCACTATTTAAGATTTAAAAGTTGGGGTGGCTGGGGCGCAGGGGGTTGGAGGGGGTGCGTCGCCAACTATGTCATTGTGATTCCCCCTCCAAATTACCGAAACGGATTTTGATTTTTTTAAATATCTCGTTTATTTACTAAGATATGGGGGGTGGTAAGTTTTCAAATTGTCACCCTGTATATAGTCATCATTTACCTTTATGTTACTTAAGTTACTTAAAATTAAGCCAGAAATTACACTCCTCGACTGTCTCACTCTTCTATTCCTTACACTATCGCTTAAAGTACATGGGTGAGCTTACATGACCCCAGCAGGCGGCAGCATGCGCCGGTTGCCAGTCATCTCGATCTCTAACGTCCGTATGCACGTTGTGATCGAGCAGAAATTCGACTACAGACGTATAGCCATTGGCCGACGCTATGTGAAGCTGAAAAGTCGGCATTTACACTAATATCAGAATAAAAATGGTAGCTTACGGGGGTAGCACCTTGACTGTCGTATTTTTCCAAGTCCCCGCCTGCGACCGCTACCTTCTGCAGGTCGATGAGCATTTGTTTTTCGGTTAGAGCTCGTGTATCGTCGATCAACTGCTGGGTCACCCCTCTGTTGGCCATTTCACCTTCGATATAGTCAAGAGCGGCCTCATCCTCACAGATATCATAAGGCATATTACCATCGGCGTTGACTGCTAGTAAATTTGCTCCGTGAGCTATTAATATACTAGAACAATTACAATGAGATCGTTTCGTTGCGAGTGTGAGATACGGTACCTAACTAATCTTAGGTGCCCACAGGTGGCAGCAGCGTGCAGGGGTGTCCACTTCTCGCTGTCCTCCGCATTTACGTTAGCACCATATTCGAGTAGTAGCAGTAGCATGGCCTCGTTGTCGTCTATACAACATTGGTGCAAAGCGGTTAACCCGTCCTCATTACACGAGTCGGGGCTAACCTCTCTCACCAGCAAATTGCGGACCTCGTCGATATCATTCCGGGCCGCTGCCTCCAATAGCACGACGCTATCTCTAAATTGTATGTTGGGCTTAGCGGACTTGTACGCCTTGACTGCTTTGCGATGGTACTCCTTTTCCTTCTGTATCCATATCTTTAACTGATGAGCCCTACGTCTTCGGGCCAGTGCCAAACGATCTTGTGTCGGTAACTGCTCGATTTGAGGCATTTCTTGTATTAAATCGGAATGATCCATTTTTGAATCTGCGAATTATTCAGTTATAGGAGTATTGTGCACAACATACAATGTAATTTTTTTAAGTAGGTGACATTATCTTATCTATTTCAAAATAACTCTGTGATTAAATGAGATGTATCTACAAGGAATTGTGTTATCTAATATTTATACATTCATTAACACCTGAGGACTGTATTTGCTTATAATCTTAAGGGAATTAGTATGTGGTCGGTCTAGAAAGTGGTTCATTTATGAAGAAAGTGATACAAGTGGTTCTTCTTGGTATAAGTAAAAGAAGCTGACCTTCACAATTTCCTCAAAGCTGGCCTTGAGTAAAAAGCCTCTTCCTGTTTGATAAGTTACCATTGACATTTGTACCCACTACTGGATAGGAAAAAATTCAAGTGCGCCAAATTAGGGTGGCGAAAGTATTCAAATTATTTACATTAAATCTAGATCTACCAACAAACCACCTCTCTTGACACAAAGTTTTCCTTGAGCATGTGTAATATTTATTTTTAGAAATTGAAAAACTATAAGTGTTAATTAACTACCTGCAAATTACAAGCATATCTTTCAAAACCGTCAGGGGTTAATTTAGGTACAAACAAAACAAAAGAGAGATCTTATGAACCAAATGATCTTCATCTTTATGACCCAGTTTCCACAAGTGACCCACAAAGAATTGCAGATTAAATTCGATTCCATTCTCAACATTTGGGAGGAAATGGTAATAATTCAAGCGTAACCAGGCAACATACACCATAACAACCACCCTGCACCTTCTCAACACGATTATTCTAATTAACCAAGAGTAACAATTAATTCATCTTACCTTTATTTCAACTTGGATTTGTAATTAACTAATTTTTGCATTTGATTTCACATCATTTTACGAGTTAAATTTACGTGATTATAGGTTAGGAATGCGTTTGTAAATTTGTACAAAATATTTACTATATATCCAGGTCACATTTCGATAATGAATTGTATTAAATTAGGGTTTATTTATTAAAAAACTACCGGTGAATTAAACTTTCTATTATACGGAAGCGACATGTTTAAAGTTGACAGCTGTACTTGCATTACGAGTGAAGTTAGCCATACAAAAAGACAGCGCTCAAATTACGATACCGTGTGTTCATTTCATTGGTGGCGGCATATTTTTTTATTGGTATACGTAACACTCTCCTTCACTCTAGAACTTATCTCGAAAAAAAGTTGCACGGGAAAGTTATAGTTTGTACAAATATTTTATTTCGATGAGACCTTTCATTAGAATACCATGAAGGGTAGAACATGTGTTCACCCCCCCCCCCTCTAAAGTTTAACTTGGCACCACTAAAGGCTTAGACTAAAGGCATTCGTATGCAAAATCTGAGACCAATTGGTTGTCGTATGTAAAAGTTATGCACGTTTTACTTTGAAAAACAGCATCCCAGAAAATAATTCGTGGAGGGGGGGCCCCCCTTTTAGACAGCGAACTTTGATGGCCATCTGGCACACCATCAAGGTATAGGCTACCTACTGCAAAAAATTCACAGGTAATCTTTCATCATCAGTCAGGGAAGTCCATGGGTTGCATCAGACCACAGTCCTCACATCAATAAATAAATAATATATTATTAGTAACGTATTTTGGGTCCTATAGGAAGAGGGCTTTTTGGTCAAGTTGTAAAATAGATACTGGATGCTCAGACAGAAATGTGCAAATAGAAGACATGGCCAAATACAAATGGATGTGCATTAGTCATTTAGTCTGAGAGCCAAATGGACAGTGTTAAGGTGGTCCACTCGCCATGTTAAAGAAAATCGTAGGTTTAGAAACTATTTTGTGGGTGTTTATGTGACCGAGAGAACTACAAAAAACACTGAAAGTGTAATTTCTGTGTGATTTTATTAGTACAAAGTTAAACTCTTTCACTCAAATTGGGCAATGCAGCTGTAATGGTTTCAAACTTAAACAGGTACAAAGATGAAGAAATAAAGCAAATAAACAACGGTACATTTTCATATGGCGTAAGCGCTTTTGCTAGGCTGCTCGTCCTCCTGTAAACCGGTCGCCTTTTTCACATACTGAGGGTTAACCTGAATCTCCTCATCCATCGCCAAAATTTGCTTGTCCAACTCCATGCACTGTTGCAATTGCGTTTCTAAACCCTTCAGCACCTCCGGCCCGCCGTATTTATCAGGCTCATCGCGAAATATAACCATACCGTCCTTTTGGTTGATCGTCGCGTAAATCTGCTTATCCTCGATCATGTGCAATATGTAGTTTTCAGCGTCGTTTGGACTGGCAAGCCCCACTCGACTGGCGACGTCCGACAAGCTGAGTGTTAAAAAAGTTTTCGTAAGGCGCTGAATATTTTTCTTATACAACACAGACACCACCTGCTTAACTAGTCCTAAATTGTGATCTCGAGCAAATACCTACAATGTTTACGTTTAATTACTGCTCCAAAACAAATATATAACGAACCTCATTGTGTTTATTAACAATCATATTTAATTCGGCCGAATTATTTGACGCAAATCCGTTTGTTAGTTCGTGGTAGGGCTGAGAGAGCGGTTTTATGAAACGATTAACTACCCTTGATGTGTACTTAGGTATAACTAAAATCTAAACGCTTCATTAAAATAAATGTTCCTTAAGTCGGCCATACAAGCAACAAAAATCCTACATATCAGCAAGAACAAATCAGTATTTTTTTTAATAGGTAGGATTTTTTTCGTGCAGGTGCGACAAGTGCCATACCTTTCCATGCAATAGCAGCGAGACAAGGATGTATTTCTTATACGATTCTAACATAATATGAGAAACTTCCTGTGCAGGAGTCGTAATGGCAACTTCCAAAAAATAAAGTGCACGGTCCAAATTACGCAGAGCTAAGTAAATCATACCCCCATAATAATAATACAAAAGAAAGTACTTGGCATCGAAATGCGACCCACTTTGACCTTGCACATTCTCTTGACATATTCCCGTAATATCGATATCTAATATTTCTAAAGCGGGCTTGAAGCATTTCGAGAGTAAGCATAATTGACATAAATCGGCATGTATGGATGTTAGCTGGGAGTCGTACAGTTGAAGTTTCGAAATCGCTTTCTGTAGCAGAGAAATGCCTTTAATCGGTTGCTTTTGTTCAGTTAAATTTGCCGTAACTAAATGACAGAGTTCTGCAACTAAATTCGATTTAAATTATGCAAGATCATGGTAATTTACATACACAGGTCTGGTGCTAATCTAATTTGTTCGCCGTTACAATTAAAAATGAAATCCTTCACTTGTTTAAATCTATTTTCGTTCGTCGCATTCACTAGAGGTGTATTGTATTTCGCATTTAGAACAGCAAGCACCCCCAAAGAGTGTTGCTGAATATCTAACGTTTCGAGCACATTGTCCAAGTGTTGGCCATTTTTTATTAAAATTTCATTGCTTTTACTTAGATAGTCACATAAGTCTCTGTAGTTGCCTGAAAATGTGAACTGTAGGTTACAATGTCTAAACAAGTCAGAATATCACCTTGAGACGATAGGGTCCTGACAGTATTTACAAACTGCTCCAAAGCGGAAGCCATTTGTACTTTGACCACAAAATTAGTAAACTACAAATAAAAATAATAAGGAAACCGGCATTTGGTTCTTTGTTGATTTTTTGACAAGTGCATTTGCTATTTGCTGTCAACTTCTTCGTAAAATATCTGCAGTACTGCCAATGGTTGTCAATCTATAGAGATATGGTCCCAGGATGTGGCAACAGCGTACGCCTCCAATAAAGGTAGAAACAGCTAAGCGAAATTACAGCTTTGGCTTTTCCAGCAAATAGCACTACCGAGTTAAATATGCTCGGGAAAATTTGAATGACTGACAAAGCAGACATTACAATGATTGGCAGTTTTTATCCAGAAACTAGATTGAAAACTTCTTCCGGGAGACAAAGTTCCTAACACATATACCACGTTTCCTGTTTGGACCACAACAGATCCTGTCATTCGAGTTCCTACAATAGTTTTCCACGGAAAAACAGATTCTGTTCCGAAAGCTCCACTACTGGTATAATATGCATAGGTAGGTGACAGGTGTTCTTCAGAACCTCGCTCCAGCTATTTTTGCGTGTTTACTAGCGATATGTAGGCTTTTCTCAACGCCATGTCAGAATCTTTCGAATATCTTTTAAAAGGATAAAAGCAGGTCAAATGTTTTGCGTGGAACGAAAGAGACAAATTAAGTCATTTTGCGGGATCTCCGGTATGTTTGACAGTGTGGCAACGTGGTTTGTATTGTGCGAAGTTTGCCGGAAAACAGACGTTCATTTCACACTTTTTCCCCGAAAACTTTTTCCATCTAATTTTTGAATATTCCTCAATGGCAACAACAAATTTATCAAAATCTGTGTTAAATTCGCCAGGTCAAAATAAAAATAACGAAGATAATACCTTGTCATCGGTGAAATCGTGCGCTAAATTTGGTGAAACGGTTCAAGTGCATTCCTCTCAAAGTTTACAAGAGTTACATCAAAATAGATTAAAATCACTACGCAAAGAACTTGAATTTGTTAAAGAGAGCGATTGGAAATATGAAAATATTGATAAATACATCGGCCAAGTAAATAATTAATGTTGCCACCCTTGTTCTCTGAGTGGGTGTGCGGCCAACTTCATATCATTCAGTGATTAACACGTTAAAGTTACGAATTTTTATTTAAACAATTTTAAACGTATAACAAAAATGGCGAAATTTGATTTAACATCACGTATGGGACAGTATTTGGATAGGCATTTAGTATTCCCGCTGTTGGAGTTTCTATCGGCGAAAGAAGTACGTATAGGTTATGTTAACAGCTTTCATAATGTTTGTACCAGATTTATGATGAAACCGAACTACTGAAAGCCAAGCTCGACATTCTCAGCAAAACTAACATGGTAGACTACGCTATAGACATCAGGCGGCAGTTGTATCCCAATGAGGAAGTACCAGAGGTATGTGCTGGGTGGTTTTTTTTACAAATCTGTAACAATTTTTGCAGGAATTAAAGCAAAGGCGTGTGCATGTCGTGGCCCAACTACAAGAACTGCAGCAGGAAGTTGAACCGATTACAAAAGTGATGGGCAACGATGAAGTTATGAAAACGATGGAGAATATGAGGGATTCAAAAACGCTCATAAACTTCCTGTCGAAAGATTATAACGTAAGAAACCAATCTGACTCCTAAGATACTTAAGTTTGGCATTTTGGGTTTATACAATTATTGCAGAGTTTGGTGGGGGGTTAAATTTTTTCATTCTCTGCTGTCTTAATTCTCTTGTCCAGGTTGACCCTTCAAATTAGTACCCCAATTAATTTTTTGAAAAATCATACAAGCCATAAGTGTAGAACCGATAGGTAGGTACATTACGGATTCCTTTCCTAATTGTCAAACCTTTTAATATTGTAGTTAATGAGAGACTTAAATCTCTTCGGCAAAAAATAAAACGTTGCAATTTCTGTTACAGTTCGAAATTGATATGATCGAAAGTCTACACAAACTAGCCAAGTATCGTTATGAGTGTGGAAATTATTCAGTGTCCACCTCCTACTTGTACTTCTGCATGCTGGTACTTCCACCGAGCGACAAAAGCTACCTCAGTGTTCTCTGGGGCAAGTTGGCTTCTGAAATTTTAGTACAAAATTGGGAGTCAGCCCTGGAGGATCTAAATAAGTTACGCGAGTACATTGATTCGAGTCCGAATCATTTCGGCGGGAATAGCTTGCAATTGCTGCAGCAGAGAACATGGCTGATACATTGGTCACTGTTCGTCTTCTTTAATCACGCAATGGGACGCGAGTTAATCATCGAGATGTTCTTGTATCGTCCTCACTATTTGAACGCGATACAAACGATGTGCCCACATATTTTAAGGTATCTCGCGACAGCTGTTATCATAAATCGCGGACGCAGATCTGCACTGAAAGACTTGGTGAAGGTTATACAGCAGGAAAGTTATACGTATCGTGATCCGATCACTGAGTTCTTAGAGCACTTGTACGTCAACTTCGATTTTGACGGCGCTCGACAAAAGCTGCACGAGTGCCACACAGTTCTATTTAACGATTTCTTTTTAATATCCTGCCTGGAGGAGTTTGTGGAGAACGCCCGTCTTATGATTTTCGAAACTTTCTGTCGCATTCACCAATGCATTAGTATCGGAATGCTGGCGGAGAAGTTAAATATGAATCCCGACGAGGCCGAGTGCTGGATTGTCAATTTGATCAGAAATGCGCGTTTGGATGCCAAAATCGATTCCAAACTTGGTCACGTGGTGATGGGGGCGCAACCTCTTTCACCCTATCAACAACTAATCGAGAAAATCGATTCGTTAGCCGTAAGGTCGGAGACGCTTGTGGGATTAATAGACAGGAAACTTAAGGCTCGTAATGATGTAAGTGTAATTTAGTGTTGCTGCACCTTTTTATTGTGATCATACTTTACAGATTCGTTGGGGAACTCAAGAGTTTTAGTATAACAATCTTTAATTGTATTAAAAATATAATTTGTAAAACAATTTGATTTATTTTATTTATATGTTAATAGTGAATAACCTTCTGTCTTCTACTACTAATTCTTCCATTACCAGTTTCGTAAAATGTAGAATTTAATGGTATTTAGTTTAGGGTTCCATATGTTAGTATTGATTAACAAATGGACTATGTATGCTCATTTTGGTTTGGTTACCTTCTGTGTGCGCTGATTTCTCCGTTTTGTATTGTTTATCGAATTGTATTGTGTTGCCTATTGGCCAGTTTGGCTATAGTGCTTACATTGTTAATTGTTTGAGGAGCACCACAGCATACTATTTGTTAATAAACCCAGTAATCTGATTAAACAACTGGTCCTTCGAGCCGGGGTAATTTACAGAAGACTATATGGTTGCTTACCCAAGACGTGGATGGTGGATATAACATATTTTTGATAATTGGCGTTTTTCTTCATGGCGATGGCGTTTGCTACATTCAGATAACTGAAGAGGGGTAAGTGCGCCTGGTATCGTTTTTCTTTTCTGTTTGCATTCACCATTGTGTGCATTGGTTTGCATTTTTTTAAATTTTAATCAGATTCCTTGCATACCTTAATGATTTTGATAATCACCGCCGCGATCTCTTATAGAAAAAATATAAACTAAAAATTCGTATAACAGAAGTTGATCAATATTTCGTAAATTTTGGGGCGATTCAGTCCACGATCAAAATGTAGTTAAAGGATGAAGGTGAGGCAACGAATGAAGGAGGGAGGAATACGAAAATAATTATTTCAAAAGTGTAGGTCGCGCGCGAGCGAAAATTATTGCTTTTGAACGAGTAGGTGGCGGCGGTGGAGTAGCCCAGCGGTGGCTATTGATAATTTTCATAGAAATCCATGCTATATGCGTCTTGAAAAATACGAGTATGTATATAAAAACTGGAGACGGAAAATTTAAAACAAAGCAAATTGCGTGAAATGTCCAAACAGTATAAATTATAGTACGGTGTGTATCGCGTCGTTTTGGGTGCTTTCTATTGGCCAGTTTGAAATTTAGCCCCAATATGGCGACCGGAACCAACGACCAATCAAAAACGAGATACCCTGTTATCTCCACTACACTAAATTGAGTCACTGTAATCTACGATGATACACCACAGATACGTATATCTGTGTCTACACTAATAGAGTGTAGTGTTCGTTCTTATACGTTATACATTGTTTATAAATGAATAAACAAAGGTTACAGTTATTTAAATGAGAAGCGTACCTAACCCATCACGGCCATAGAAATTCTCCTGGGACCTGGGTCTGCTTCCACTATAATCTCCAGGTGCAGGATCAAACCCTGGGGATGTCTTAAGGCTGCGGACAAAGGGATGATTGAACAACAGAGGACACATCGACTTTATTAATACTTTTACAGATTCGTTGGCAACTTAAGCCGTTTAAAATAACAATTATTTTTACTGTATTGAAAATACAATTGATTTATTTATACAATTGTCATTCCTCACCCCGTAACGCACGATATTTACTAAGTTCAGTCGGAAATATACGGCTAAGCTCAACTAAGATGTTTGTTTTGAATTTACGATACGCATCAATTTTTCCTTTCACCTGTTCATTCTTGGCCAGTGCCTTTTCGATGCAGTCTTTAGTGTACAGTTGTGGATTACGGCCTTGGTCGATGTAACTGGAAAAATAATCTATTAATGTTGACCCTCTCCCTAACAGTGACTTACTCAAATACTTCTAGGGGAACGTGAACATCTTGCACTTGCGATTTCAGTTTATCTACCTCCTGTAGACCGTGCACGAGCGATTGCCTGAGGACAATTACAAATTATAAAAGAAAATTGATTTCTTTTACTTACAGTTTTTGATTTAGTACAGTTTGACTTTGTGGTTGAAAGTCGCTAACAATAATGTGTATTTGGCGAACGTTTTCTATAAACAATTCTAATTGAGTTTCCAAATTTTCTAAAGACGTCATTATTAATTATTTATAAATGTCTTCCCTAGAAAATACCATATATATGGAAAATACTCAATTTTTCGCCATGTAAACCATCGAATAGGTACTGCTGTACATCAGATAAACAAAGCAGATACACGTGCGACGTTGCCAATATTGATTTGTGTTCCTTAACTTTAGAATTGAGATACATTTCCTATAGGGACAAAAAATGATTAACCCCTTTGGCGTACGTAAAACTTAAGAGTATATTTCTTACTCTGAGGTAGAAAATAAACAAATTGAATATTGAATCAGTTGTAGGGACAAAGTGACAGAGCAGAGATGTGGATGGTAACCTGAAATAAACGCCCTGTATAGCATGGGTGATCCGAACTTGAAAGCAGTGTTCATACATTCTAACCAAAAATTGCATAGTATATTTTTCTATTTTATCAACAATAAAATGTAAAGGCCTGCAATGAGTAAAGTGAATTATTACTCAATTTTGTCTGGGACGTCGGCTGCTGGTGCCAGTTTCTTTGGCAAGTTGTGTGGGTTGCCTATCTTTCAGGTTAGCTCGGAGTATTTTCAATTTGAGCATTAAAAAATTTTTTTAGGGTTTCTTTATTGTAAGGGTCGTGTTTTTTGGTTTAATGTTGTTGTGCAACGGATCTGTCTGGACACTATACGTAAAAGCATTACAGTCGACAAATTCCACACTAACTGCGACCGTTTTAAGTTCAGCAGTAAACTATCTTTTATCGGTAGACTTATTATTTTGTGTATTTGTTATTATAAATCACTTTCAGGCTATTTTGGGCTATATTGTATTTGGGGAGATAACATCTTTACTTTGGTGGACTGGATTAAGTTCGGTATTGGTTGGTGTAGTCCTTATTACACAGGATCAAGAAGTTGCATCTATGAAGCTCAACGCTAAATGCAACTAACCTAACGTTTAGGAAAGGTATTAAACAATTATAAAAATCTTGCGTCATTCTTACATTGTTGCAAAGTTTGGTGATATTAACATACCTCCTGAAGTGGCTGAAGTACAATCTATTTTGAAGGTCTCTAAATTTTTTTTCTGAAAGGCTACTAAAACTTACCTACACCTATCTTCAAAGCACTTCAGCATCGTATCAACCATAAGGTATTAGATCTGAATTTCTTGTTTATTATGAAGAAATACAAGTGTCTCCTGTTTTCAGTTCAACTTTGCACACACAAATAAGTACAATAGTATTTTAAATTTATATAACGAGTGTATCAACTCACCCAGTATTACCAATATCTCAAGTAGAGTGTACATAATAAGCAACAATTAACAACTTTATTAAGACAAAATTGATGTGAACAATTTCAATTTTTATAAGCTCTAGATGTAAGTTCTTAAGTACTATAATAAAAGGAACTAAAGTGCATACATAGTTGGTAAAATACTGATTGTCTATCCCCTATTTGATACACCAAACACAACAGCAAAATCCACAAAAATCTAACAATAAATTAAAGCTGAAGCTTGTTTTAAAAATTCCAGTTACATTGTACTAATTAACATTACATAAAACATTATGTATGTCTGCCAAAATTTTCCGAAATGGGTTTTGATCTGCGGTAAAGTAATTTACATCCGCAACATTTTCTTCTACATAGCTTCTCAGATTTAAATATTCCGGCCAGGCGCATTTCTCAAAGTATCCTGGACAATCGGGTGGATCATAAATTCTAAGTTTTCGTCGCTCAAAGCACTCCTCCCTGTCCAACGTCAGATAATACTTCAACAAACATAAATTGGAAACAGGTTTATAATTAAATATACAAAATCCTTCTAAGATGAGTACTTTCGTCTGAGTATCTTTCAGTTTTGTGTTGATGTATTGTAATAATTCGGAATCGCCCAGCGAACTCGATTTCGTCATTTGCGTGTTACGTAAATTGGTGTTGTAGTGATCCGTAACTTTAATTGTGTCTCGATACATTTGCTCCATATCTAAACTCGAAAGTATGTCATAATTAATGTGATTTAACTCCGGAATCCATGTGTGCTTTGGATCATCCTCTGCAAGAAAGTAGGTGTCTTGCGATATTAGCAAAGTGGAAGGAATGGATTTTTTAAGCTTAGTGGCCAGAGTTGTCTTGCCACCGCAAGTTACGCCGCTAATGCCAATAATTAACATATTTTTAGACATTTTAAAGAAAGTTAAAGCAAGAATTTCGTAATCAAAAAGCAAACAAGTGAGGTTATGTTTAACGTCAAACCCACGTGTTCAAAGTTGACAGGTTCATACAAGGTGCTTGGAAGTTCGGTCGTTACGTAACTCCCTCTGCAAAAAAAAGACACCTTCGATGATTACAAAATGGACTTTGTTCACCGTGGAGGGGAGTGGTATACTGACATGAAGTTAGGCATAAATAAACCGGTTTATGAAGTTAGGTGTCAATTATTTGTTTATTTTTACAGAAACACCTGTTTTGTTTTGGAAAAAAATGTCTTCTTATAGTGACAGCGAGCTGAAGAAAATGGAATTAAAAAATAAAATAAAAAAGGCTGTATCTCTCCATGTTACACTGAAAGCGAAAGAACGCCAGGAAAAAAGAGTTGCGCAAAAATTACACCTGCATATGCCCGATATAAACGAACGGAAATTGATCACTGCTGTTAGTACAAATAATACTGAAAGATTGCAGGAAATGCTGTCAGGAAATCACAATCCGAATAGCAAAGACAATCATAACCGAAGTGCCTTACACATAGCAGTTAGTCGTGGTTATACGGAGTGCGTTTGTTTACTTTTACAAAATGGGGCCGATGTAAATAGTCAGGATATTCTGGGAAACACACCTTTACACTTAGCGGCCTGCACGAGTAATTTACAAATTATTACTCATTTACTAAATGCAGGCGCCGATATAAACTCGTTGGACATGCACGGTCGAAATCCACGCCAGCTTGCCGAGAGCAAATTGCATATATTGAGACACAGTTGGAAATCCCGCACCATCGAGATGACAAATCTCAGAGAGCAACTACAACAAGTATATAGGGGGTAATTTAATTTGTAAACGGTGCTTGTTTTTCTTGTAGGTTGTCAATATGATGATTTCGTTGTGGAGACGTAATGCAAGTGACAAAGTAAACGATTTACAAATGATGAAATTATCGATAGATTCTGTCGACAATGTGGATGATCAAATGGCTAGACTGCTGGACGAATTGCGGGACTTCTCTTTGAAGTAGATTCATTTTTATATATTTGTAGTTACTATATACTCTTACTAAACAATACATATATCTAAATATGTGTTTGTATGTATCACTTGAGCCCACCTTCCCCCTCCAGTATTTATTTAATAATAAAAATAATGTTTATAATATCCACATTGAACATCCACATAAATGGTAGAACTGCATTGGTAATTGAAACAAAAGAATAAAAAAAATGATTATATTCCACATATCGCAATAAATTTGCTCTACACAATTAAAGTTTATTGAATCTCCCCACACGCTGCTATCGTAATCTTCTCAGTGGGAGTTCCAGATTTTGTACCACAACGTTCAATCCGTCTCACAACATCCATTCCGCTAATTACGTGCCCGAAGACCACATGCTTTCCATCTAACCAGTCTGTCTTCGCTGTACAAATAAAAAACTGGGAACCGTTAGTGTTTGCTCCGGAATTGGCCATCGACAATGTCCCGGCGCTTGTGTGCTTCAAAATGAAATTTTCATCAGAAAACTTCCGACCGTAAATCGATTTTCCGCCAGTCCCATTGTGGTGTGTGAAATCACCTCCCTGGCACATCTAAAAATTGACTATAGTAATGTTTATATACCTAAATAGGCGGGATTTTTACGTACAACAAAATGACAACATTGTCTTAAATTGCAGTGCAATAAAATAATTATTTTAGGTACTAAAAGTATAATTAGGGGCAATTCCCATAAGAAAAATTTATCTTTTTAATTATTCACACTGCAATTACCCATAGGTGATTACTAATTAATACCTTGATGACCCAATGAGATTAATATGACGCATTCATGTGTAGATATAGGATCAACTAATTAAGTAATTTTAACAACAGCAAATTTAGTTATAAATCAAGGAAAAACGTACAAAGTCTGGAATAACGCGGTGAAATGTACTGCCTTGAAACCCGTAGCCCTTCTCGTGTGTGCAAAGGCACCGAAAATTTTCTGCAGTACGTGGCACAACATCCACCCGTAGCATCATCGTTATACGGCCCACCTCAGTTTTGCCAATATTAATATCAAAGTAAACCTGAGGATTTTTAAGCTTCTTCTGCTCCCTGGTTTTCTCGATGGAATTCTACAAGAACATTAAGAGAGGCAAGGACCAGAGAACAGACCTACCGTTTCGGTTGTCCCTCCTTCTGTCTCCGAACCCTTCAGAGTCTCACCGGCGTGCTGCTGTAACCAAGTGTCTTCGGCCCAAACTGGTCGAGTCGATCCCTCCTTAATGCGTTGTGGTTTCGCCAAGTTAACACGTATGGTACGCCCGAACAATTCGGAATCGTTCTGGACACAATTAATTAAAATCGAAACTGAGTACGGGAGCCCTTACCATATTGTCGATTGCGGCGGCGGCGTCCTCTGCGCATTCGAATTCGATGAACGCGAAGCCACGATGCTTTTCGGTTTCGTAGTCCAAGGGAATTTGAATGTCGACCACATCGCCGAACGGTATAAAGGCGGCGTTTAAAATTTTTTCATCGACTTCTTCGGCTAAACCACCAACGTATATTGTTCTTTTATTGTTTGTTCCCATTTTTTAATTTTAAAAAATGTGAGGTTAGAGTGAAATTTCGATCTGCGTCGGTCATATATACAGGAAGAGTCTGTCCTTATGAGATTTTTGGTATAACACTCCAAAAGCTGGCACTATCTTTTTTAAAGATTTTTATCTTACTTCAGGAGGTTTGTAAAGCCTTTCAGAGCTTAGTAGTTCATACTTAAATCTTTTCTAGAGTTTCTTATCACCTATTTTGTTGAGAGTTGGAGCGTATCTATACAAACAGTTTGGCTCCACACACCTCATAAACATCTTATCTTCTCTAGGTTTTGCATCATCTTACAGATGGCATTATTTTCATAAATTTATAAAAACACGAAATTTTAAATTTTTGTATCTCCTAAAGCTAAACTATAGACGCCAGAGGACCAAATAAAATATCACATGAAAAGTACTTTTGCACTCTACAATTATGAATAAAACATAGTTTCTCCCGACGTTTGTCGCATTGGCAAACTTGATTTTTTCTCTCTCTTCACCATTCAAACAAGTGGGAAAAATAAAGTCTTCTACCGGACCTTTTGCAACCATTTAGCATTTTGATGTCCAATTTAACTGTACTGTACAGACTGATTCAAATTCAAGGGCCACCATGGGGATCTCGGGAACTGTAAGAGATAGGCACTTAGGTAGTTTCGAGGGTAGTTTAAATTTGGTAAAGTTGCGTATTTTGATGCTTGCAGTTCCAGAGATCCCCATTGTGACCCTCGAATTTGAATCAGCCTGTATATGTGGTTTATCTAAGTAATAAGTAAAACGTAAAATGCATTAGTATTCAGTACTAAAAGAAGATATTACATGTACGCATTGTCGTAAGTTTCATAACAGTTCGTTGCATTTAGCAAATTTCCAGCAACGCTGAGATTTCAGCAACTACTATAAACGTAAAACACTACATAATTGGTAGTTACAATGTCTAAAAATTCTTACCGTTACTGTCTACTGCTGAGATAGGAATTAAGGTTTGTAACAATGTTAACAACAAACAAATTAAAGTTAATCCATCCAGAAACTAATGTCAATTCTGGTATTAATGTGAATGCTCTAAAAATAAACAATTCGCTTAAGGTGGCGTTTACATTGAAAAATATTTGTTTCCATAATTACTGCCTTTTGAATACAAATTTTTGGTTGAAATAGCATTCATTCTATAATGTTCTGACATTTGCATGAAACAAACATTATTTAGCTAATTCCTTTTCGCCGATATTTAGGAAATAAGTTGTTAAAAAACTCCCATATAAAATATATATCTTTCATGTTTATCACACACTGATAATAATTTGTTATCAAATTTAACTTCACAGGTTTAAACTCTGAGCAACCATCGGTCGTTAACAGAAGTTTATTTTTTGACCTCGAAACAAAGTTAGGGTATATTGCAAGGTATATTGTATCAGATGACCAACAAAATTATTTCAGATGTCAGATAAGGATTACGTACAGCAACAAAAATAAAAACATTATTAGCTTGGACCACAGAAAAGATGAGGGTTTAAATTGCATTAAGCAAGTAGTGTTTTAGACCGTTTTATATACCTACCTTTTAAATGCAAAACCTAGTGCATAGTTTATCATTATATTTCAAGACTTATATGACATGCTTAATTCTAGAAATCTTTCTGCAAAATTTTTTTTTAGAAACAACCATTTTCACTGGAAACAACCAAATTAAGAAATGAGTGATTAGTTCAAAAAGAAAAATAGAATTCGTGGTTACTTGTGTACAGGGTGTTCCATTTTCGACACTTTAATATAAAAAGTTATCGGACCTAACCTCATTTTTTGAAATGAAAAATTTTTTGGTTCAAAAGATTCAAAAAGCTAAAAAAAATTAACTTGAATCTTTTTAGAATGTCCTTGGTGTGTTATATTTTTCAAAGAGTATTTAATATGTTATCTTTGTTGATTAAAATGCACATGGGTGTTCTATTTAAAAAAATAACTTTTTCACCTGACTCCATATTATCTTATTTTGAAAATGGCAGAATAGTAAAAAAGTCGTTATAAAAAAAGTGTCATAATAAACATTTTGGTCATTCTTAAATTAAGACATAAAGAGCACATACAGCATATATTTATTACTTTTTTGACGGCACTAACAATTACGATAGTAAGTACCATATAGAAGTTTCAAAAATAGTACATTCCTGTACAATAAAGTAGGTAAAGGTAGGCAATTTGGGAAATGTCATTAACCTTGATGCAACATTGTAATACACTGGAACGAAAAGCCTACTAATGATATTTCAAACTAAAACTCTTCCCACAAGAAGCTAACCGCAATCTAACCTAACTGCGCATGTTGACGTAACCTAACTGCGCATTTCGACCCAACCTAACCGCTATCTAACCCAACAGCGCATCTCGATCTAACCTAACAGCGCATCACGACCCAACCTAACCGCGGTCTCGACCTAGTGTTGTTCCTCTTGAAAATTTTAATGAAAATTTTCGCTTTTGAAATTTTCAAATGCGAAATATTTCATTGTAACCCAAAACTGAAATTTCAGTGACATATTCATACATTTCAAGTGAAATTTTCATTACGAAATTTCATTTGAAATGTTCTCAAATTTTTATAAATTTCAGTGAAAATTTCATATATTGTCATCAATCATAAATTTCAATGAAAAATTCACATTCTTCCCTCCTTTTCATAAATTTCAAATTTTTTTTATAAATTTCATAAATTTCAAGAAAATTTCAGAATCGGTCAAAACTGAAATATTCCCAACCCTATCTCGACCAACGGCGCATCTCCACTTAACCGCGGTTTCGAACTAACTTAAACGCGGTCTTGATCTAACTTAACATCGGTCTCGACCTAACCTAACCGCAGACACGATAGGATTTTTGGAACGAAGGTAACAGGCCCAAATACTCACCGCAGCGCAGACTTATGCCGCGATATCTCGAGAACGATGTGTCATAGGGAGGGGTTCATGGGTGTCTATGGAAAGGTCTCGACCTAATCTAACCAATGGGAGGGTCGGAATTGAGATAGAAGCCCAGAAAGTGGGAACGGATGCCCCGCGTACTCACACTTCTGAATATCAAATTTGGACGAAATTGGACCATAAGCAACGGAGATATAGCGATTTGAAATTTGACACCTACTGCAAACACTTAAACCGCGATATCTCAAGAACGGTACGTCGTAGATAGGGTTCATGAATGTCTTCGAAAAGGTCTCGACCTAACCTTACGACGGATCCGATCTAATCTAACATCGATAAATGTGGTAAAAAATCGTACTACGCATGCGCAATAGTTAACTTTCTTATTTGTGGACCAATTTGATTGCAATTTTTATGGTAGGTTTCTCTAATAAAAGCGAACACAATAAAAGTGCAAATAATCGTATTGAACCTAAAATAGATTACACCTAAAAAATGAAGACACTCCATTTTCTGTGGAATTTGTGCGAAATAAATCCACGCTAGTGAAGTTTTAAAATGCGGGGCATTTTTATCAACCTATACATATACAATGAGATTGACTAAAATAGAGACTATCCATATACTGGTGCTTTTTTGAGCCGAATCAAATTTATTTTCCAGCGATACTTACAAAACAACCCTAACTACATTCTCACAAGAATCAAGCAAAAAAAATTACACGGCATTTGCTAACAAAACGACGGTAGACGGTAAAGAAACATTTGTAAGAAGCATTTTTCTGTACTTTTCAACTAATAAAATATAGGGTACTTCTGAAATTGACAATTTTTTCATTTCCCACCATATCTTTTAAGCGAGAGAATACTTACTTTCAAATTTTTACTTTACTAAGTATTTTAAGTTTGACCCAAAAAAGGCACATGACGCCTAGGTATATCACTTTTTTTATAGCACTAACAATTACAGAGGTACCCTCGGAGGTACCTTATAAAAGTCTCGCAATGGAATACCATGTACTTACCTTATTTGTTACTTTTTATTCGCTGAAAAATAGTTTATAGCGAGGAAACTTTCGAATTATGGAAGTGAGGTGCATTTCGAAGCTCGTTTCGAAGTTGACACTGTGTGCCTTAAAATTTTATTTCTTGATTAAATGAAAAATTTTGAAATTGATCTACGGGAAGGTCCGAAAGTCTTAGCCTTCGGTCATGATGTTGATACTTTAAACTGAGATTATTTCGAGTAAATAAACGTAACTTTTGCTAATTTCCACCTAGAACTGTAGAACTATATGGTGGAAACAATTTGATTTTGATAACTTCAGGCACTCCAATTTGCGAGCCCACCTTGGAAAGCAATAGTCTATATATTCTACGATACCTCGAGACTTACTATGGATTTTCTGCCTTTCACATGTTTTCACACATCAAATTTATGTCCGTGGTAGATTTCAATACTAATGAATGAAAATTGACAAACTTACGAGTTCCACTTTCAGTTTCGGCCGGAAAACCATTCACAACCTCTCCCATCGCAGATTCAGCCATTTTTGATTGTTTTCGGACACGATTTTTAAAAGTTCTCGGAGCCATTACAAACACATCTTTCTACAAAGAAATGAAAAACATTACCATAAGGATGACTTTAAGATAACATTTAACCAGTGCGATAATTCAAGAATATAAGAGAACATTTTTAGCTTACTTACTATTGCTTTGACCCTGACCTTAAGTTATAAACATAAACCAAGTCAAAGAATAGTGCTGCATAAATTATAGACTTTTATAATGTGTGAAATTAAGAGCACTTTTGTCTGCCTGAGCGGGCAACGTGAGCACTTAAAGGTGCTTGTGATACGAAGAAGCACCACACCAGCACTACTGCACCACATAACCTAAAACTAACCTTTATAGTACACCTTCATTTTAGTCAAAAATTGTAATTGAACAACTAAAAAAAAACGTAGGCGATGAAATGGATTCTTCATGCACTCATGTTTTTACGTTAACACGATCTAAATGGACACATTTACGTACTTTGACCAAAAGTGTTGCGATGGACGTAATAAATTACCGAGTGCGAATGGCTATCTCTCGTAGTACCACTCGTAATTTTACGTCAATTTGGTTTCAAATAATTACATATTCAGGAAGAATATTTACGTGCAAGAAGATGTTTTTACTCATTACTTTTTACGAGATAAGTGGCTTGACCTCAAAAGTTAAAGTAGGTAGCTAGGTATATGGAAATCGGGCGAAAAGCAGAATGGGTAACGTAATTTAAATGCGCAGCGCATAGAGCAATGGTAAATTACGACGGCTTACAAAAAGTGTACAATTATTCACAAATAATGTATAGTGGGATTTTCAAAACACCTTTTCATTTCAAATTCAATTGATTCATTTCATATTATGCAGTAGCGACAACGGCAAACACTTCGCCTTCGTGTATGCAAAGAATGGTCTTTGGTGTATGTGATCTGCCCAGATCTGTACACAGAGATCTGTATAATGTAGTCAGTCTGTCAGTACACTGTAAAAAACCATAGACCAAATACAAAAAACTAACGCAATCAACTGTGTTAGGTATCTTTCAACGTATATTATAGGAAACTATCCTAGATTATATACAGGAAAGTGCAGTACAAATATGATCGAATGTAGCGTTACTAGATGGCAGCTAAGTGGCCAAAAAACAATAGAATAAAATTTAAAAATCATACCATTGAATTTAAATTCAATGCTTCTTGTCGACTGTCGTGTGGTTATGCAAATCAAATTGCATTTTTTTTAAAGCACCCTCTGTGTTGTTTGGGGCCCACTTAAAGAGAGTATAATTATTTAAATATTTGTATAGAAAACTGCTGTAGTTACGCTATTCATTATTAGGTACCAGCACATTTTAACGAAAAAAACTTTGTCCTTTACTATGGGTACTTCTCTTTTCAGGCAATCCCAGCCTTAAATGGATATCTGAATTTATAAGATTACATTGCGAAAAATGTTGCAAATAAAATTTATCAGAAATCGCCGAAATTCCTGACCCTGTGTCAACTTCCATTGTGATTGATTTATTATTTACCTGTATGCACATTTTTATAGGCTGGTTATTTATCGAGGCAATCGTGAAAATGTTTAAATCATTTAAATCTAAATCCGACTCCTCTAATGAATCATTAACATATTTATGATAATTGCTATTCGCTCGTGATTTACCCTTACAAAATGAAGCGATGTGTCCCTTTTTTTGGCACAGATGGCACTGCGCATTACGAAAAAAACAACTATCGTCTACATGATTAGATTTACCACAGTGATTGCACCTGCTCCTTCGGTATCCACTGCGCTGACCCTTTTCTTTGGACTTTTCCTTGCACGCTACCCTTCTCCTCGTCGCCTGCAATTTATGAACCGCCGCTACTGACGAAGTTCCGGCGATCAAATGGGAGTTGGTCTCTGCTGCTTCCATCCCCACAGCAATTTCCTGTGCTTTTTGGAACGTGAGTGACTTCTCCACGAACAATCGCTGTCGGGTGGTTTCACTCTTGAGCCCGAAGACTAATTGGTCTCGCAGATTTTCCTCCAATTTTTCTCCAAATTTGCAATCTTTAGCTAATTTTTTTAAATTAGCCATGTACACTGCCACTGACTTCCCAACGTCCTGCTTGCGTTGGCGAAATTTATATCTTTCCGCTATTTCGGATGGTTGCGGCTGGAGATGGTTTTGCATCAGCTTGACTAGATCTTCAAACTTATTATCTTCTGGATTGGCGGGGTTGCACAAATCCACCATTAAGTCAAACGCTTCCCCTCTGATGACGGTAATTAATATTGGCGTATGCTTGCTAGCCTCAATTTCGTTCACCTTAAAATACTGTTTTAATCGCGCGATATATGACGACCAGTTTTTATCTTCGATTTTGTATTCTTGAATTCTACCGAGAAGCGCGGCCATTTTATTTTAATAGGTATATTTATTTGGATTTAATATTAATTTACTTTTAGGTATTTATCAAACGTGTTTACCTTAATTTAATTTAGGATATTTAATTTACTTTAATCCTCGTCGCCACTGTTGTAACTTGGAGGAAATAAAACTCATCGGATTGCGCTCTATTTGCATACTGCCTTTATATTTCTATATTCAAGGATACCCACCTATGTACATGATAATGATAACGTATACAGGTACCTACCTACATTTATCACACTTTGGATGTCAAATCCTTTACAAATCACCCTTTACTACTTTATTCAACCTTATCCTAATTACCTATTCATATTTTAGTTAACAGGTATTTGAGTGCTATTTTATTCTACCTCCTTTAAGTATGTAGGTACACGGTCATTACAAAAAAAATTAAAATTAAACAAAATTCATTTTATGAACTGCTGGCCCTTTTACCTCCGAGAATTAGTAAATCTTATGGAGCGAATCCTACGGGAGCGGAATCACCGGGGGCGAATCTTCCAAAACGAATTTATCGGGGGGCGAACTTGTCGAGAGCGAATTTTCCGGGGCGAATCTTACGGAGGCAAATAGTCCGGGGGCGAATTTTCAGGGGCGAATTTACCGGGGCGAATTTTCGAGGGCGAATCATCCTACAATTCCAGAAGCATCGGCAATAGTGAAACGGGACTTCTACATAGACGACTTAATAACGGGGTCGTACAACCAAGAAATTGCGAAGGTCCTTCAACATCAGTTGGGTATTTGGTCTTAGAATTTCATGCTCTTTCCAAATTCAGAATAAAATATAGGATTTCTATTTAAAAAATTATCACTTATGTCAAATCTCGAATGACAAAAAACCATCATTAAGTGACAATTACAGCAAAATGTGGAAAAATGGACGTGTTCGAGGATTTTTTCGAAAACGTTTACCTCCTAAAGGATTTATTGCGATAGTTCTAAACTTTTACACTCGTACTGTAAAACTAAATAAGATAGTTTTGATTGGAAGCCATTTACAAAGAAATCGCCGAAGGGTTTAGTTCAAAGATTTTTAGATGGCGGTGAAAGAAATCTTTCAATAATAAAAAAATTATAAAGTATAATTCGATTAGCTTTTGAATTGCAAGTAGGTCGCTCACCTTTTACCTCGCCTTTTACATTTGGAATGATTGTCATTTACTGAAAGCGTTTTAGATCTAATCCATTTCGATTTTTTTTAAAACTATAGTTACCTAATCGAACACTCAAAATGTTAGCTAATTTAAAAATGTAGGTACCTATATATAAGCTGCCAAATTTAAAATTTTAAGTAGAGGAAGCCGAAAGGTAAGCACATTAGAACAGAATACATGCAATTTGGTTTCATTTCATGTAGCAAGAGGTTGCTATTTTGGACGGGAAATTTAGTGCTAACATAAATCGTATAAGTCACCATGCAAATGAGCCATGTAATCAATGGTGACGCTCAGAGCTGTTCCTATTGTAACATTCCACATGTGGTAATTTATTAAAGAAGAGTAGGTATTGAAAATGGCAGTTACAATTTTGGGAATGGACGATTTACATTTAGTTTGAAATCACTCGGTTGCACGATATTAGAGGATCTATTTAACTCAATTAAACAAGCCCTACGTATTGATTAAGAAGGGAAAACGCGAAAGTCTACGTTTCCAAAGGGTGTATGAACGCGGCACTTTCACTTCTATAGTCTTAAGACAATCATTCATGGATAACAATTTGTGTGGTCATTTTTTTAAACAGTAGTCTATGGTTCTTGCTTTGAAGATACATTCCAACAGACAATGTCTAAATGTGGCAAGAAGTAATTACATTTTGAGTCGACAGAGCATGAAGGCGTTACGTTCATTATAGTTACCTACTTGTTGAGCGTTGAATATAAATTTTATGTTAAAATATGTTCAAGTACAAGTTTTTTCACCTCACATTGTCTTACACTGACATTTCTGTTCGTAAAACCATAGAGGAAAAAACTTAGGCTTCATATACAAGAATACTTTTTGCTTCTGTGTGAAATCTTGATAACAATTTCGTCCGATTTAAAATATTTACAACTTGTAAGTAGTTGCATAGGAAGACGGTGTCCTCCATGTAAGGGGCAACCTTAACAAAAAAAAAAGGACCTTTGCAATATCGTTGCTTGCGACCCTCCGTTACATTCCGAAATATAAATTTTTGTCTTTTTTCTCTGTTGTGTCCATTTTTTCCTTTCCTCTATTCTCCATTTCCGTCCCATCCTTCTTCCACGTCTTTCCCCCATCGCCCCCTCTCGCGCTTCTTCTTCTCTTACTTTTCCTTTTTAAAACCCGCCCCGTACTTTCCTGTTGCAACGGAAGTTGGACGCTAAAATGCTTCGGTTATTGTTTTTAGCGTACATATTTTCCTCAAAGTGAAAAATCGCTATTGGTTGCACTTTGTCGTCCGTCCGTTCGTCCGTCGGTCCGTTCGTTCGTTCGTCCGTCTGTTCGTTCGTCCGTGCGTCCGACACATACTCCTTCTACACCACTGAACCGATTTGGGCGATATGGGGCTCATTTGAAAGGGCTCGGTCCAAGGAGTCCGTGCATATCTTTTGGTTTTGCAAATTACAAAATGCCGTTATACTAATCCTCCGTAGTTTAAAGAATTTACCTTGTTTTTCAAAACAAACTATTTATAAATGGAAGTTGTTAATAACCACTACCACAGACATAGTATATGTTGTCTGTGCCACTACCAAAGATTAATAACTACGTGGTGGGGTGGCAAATGTGATTCCGAGTCATAATATCTGTCTTCGTGAATCGGAAATGCCTTCTACTCTACAGCTGGCCCTGTACTGAAAATGGTAAATATCGGAAAGTAGACAGAACGTTGCTAACTCCTTGTTCGACAAAATGTACCTAACTCCCTAGCAAACTACCGCAGGTTCAAGTGCTGCGATTCAGGATTCTGCGTTATTGTAAGATAAGAATGAGAACATTCGACTAAAAATGAACTTCATATCTTCGCTCTCGTTAAGATTTTAAATAAATTTATCTTACCTTATTAGCTACTACTTAAAATACGGATGGCTATCGTAATGAATGTACAAAATTTTTTTAGCACATTTTTGCAAATTTATTTGTAAAAAGTAGCTTTTAAACGGGTGTACGTGCATCTACAAGGCCGTATAACTTGTCAACGTTAGGGACGGGGCTACATGATGTGGGGTTGGCGACTTTTGGACGTCATCCTCGAGCGTAGTTTACTAACGTGAAGGTTTTTCAGTTTTTTCCTATCTTCTACTACAGTTTTGGTCCGATTCTTTTCAATTTGGTGT